GTAGCACAACTCTAGAGTAATGATGTCATATTCAGGACATAAAAATAGACAGGACCCAGGAGGCATGGAGAGTCCCTGTGATGAAGGGACAGACAAATCTCAGCTGCTGACCACAGCAGGGATACAGCCAACACTGGAGGTCTGGCAGAAGACGGTGGGTGTGTAGGTTGGAGTTTGGGACTCAGAGTCATGGCACCAGGTTTTGCAAGCTTTCAGCAGATCAGTTAACAAGGGAGGACCTGGCTGGAAAGGACAGACCAGGGACCTAAGTCCTTTCATAGATAGAAAGTGATAATCATGGGAGGGAAACGGCAAGAGCCAAGTTATCAAAATCAGTGTATGACCTTGTCATCTGTCACATGGACTCCAGGATGAGGAGGGCAGAGCACTGCAGTGCGGGGAGGGGGAATGTGTTAGGACAGGGCAGAGACACTCGTAGCTGGGTGAGGAAATGAAGGTTAGGAGAAGCCCTAACCCTGGCCCCAGATACTGAGACTTCAGAGACCTCTGTGCAGTGGAGTCGTGGCCAAAGCAGCGCTGCTACACACAGTGCGATAGAGGAGCGCTGGCTACTTTACTTTCTACTCTTAAGCCTGAGAGTCACCCTTGTGTTCTAGATCCAGTTCTACCTCCTGAATGTCCATGCAGTCTGTCACCTACCCCTCATACCCACCGCTGTTCACACCCACCTGTTCCTGGACTCATAGCCACATCTCTATGGCTCTTTTTGCTTCAGTCTTGCAACTTTGTTCCTGTAATCAACCCTCCATGCTGCTACCAGTGGACTTTTCCTAAAACAGCTACTCTATTAGCTCCAGACTTTCTATAGCCTAACAGACTTCATAGGTGCCTCATTCCCTCTAAGACATGCACTTCTTGCTTGGAAATCAAGGCCTTTCATGATCTGGCTCTAGCCACACTTCCTGTCACTTTAGGCATTTACATCTTCTGTTCCTTCTTAATGGCAGATCCTTTCTTTGCTTTCCTAGCTTGAAACTTTTTTTTTCCATTTCTTTTTTTTTTATTTCAGCATATTATGGGGGTACAGATGTTTAGGTTATGTATGTTGCCCTTGCCCCCCCTCCCCCCTAAGTCCGAGTTTCAAATATGTCCATTCTTCGGGTGGTGCGCATTGCACTCTTTGTGTATGCATATACCCGTCCCCTCCTCCTTCCTCCCCCCTGCCTGACATCCAATAGATGTTATTCTTATATGTGCACTTATGTGTTGATCAGTTAATACCAATTTGATGGTGAGTACATGTGGTGCTTGTCTTTCCATTCTTGGGATACTTCACTTAGTAGAATGTGTTCCAGCTCTATCCAGGATAATACAAGAGGTGCTAGATCACCATTGTTTCTTAAAGCTGAATAGTACTCCGTGGTATACATATACCACATTTTATTAATCCACTCATGTATTGATGGACACTTGGGTTGAAACTTTTTATGCTTCAAGCATTTGCTAAAATACTACCTCATTTGCCAAGTTTATTTATTTTTTTTACTCCTCAAGCCAGATTCAATGATATCTCATCTCCCAAATGAAGTTTGAACATGCTTCCAGTAAAGCAATATTCTTGCTCTTTTGTTTTTCATTTCTGCCTTCCAGTAGGCTCTGGGAGGAGAGAGACTCATGTCATAAGTTTTGAAGAACCAGGCCCTAGCACATTTCCTAGCTCAGAATGCTGAATGAGCATTTGCTGAATAAATGAACATGAGGCTCCCCCACTGTGTTTAGACTCCTTGGTCATAACCTCTACTTTTCTCTATGTGGTGCTAATATTATATCCACAGACCGTGAAAATTTCAGAAACATGTTGAATAACATTGCTTTCATGGCCATCAGTAATGAAGCATTTAACTCTCTTCTCTCCAAACGATAGGGCGTCAATGTGAACCTTGTGACAATTAACCGGGTCTCTTCTCTCCACGAGGCGTGCCTTGGAGGTCATGTGGCCTGTGCTAAAGCCTTATTGGAAAATGGTGCACATGTGAGTACCGCCCCTGCCCGTGTAGTTCTGTCTGCACAGGTGCGTCTGCTAACATCTTAAGAGACTTTGCCTCCCAGACTGGTCCCTCGCTGTGGGTATGGGCAGGGCTGGGGGTCCCATCCACACGCAGATCCGGAATCATTCAGGTTTGCTGCTTTCTCATCAGCCTAACCCCCATGTGCGGACATTCAGATATAGTGACTCACGGGAATATTTCAAAATCGTGATGCTGACTTTAAAAAAATCTTTATTGTAAGACATTAAAAAGAACAAATTTTAAAAGAACAATCAGAAACACTTAATTCAACACCTTAAATCAACAACTATTTTATTGAGCAAAATTATCAAAATAAATGAGTTTTTAATAAATAATACATTGGAAAAAAACCCACAAAATTAAAATTTATCCTATTTTGAATGTATATCCTAACTTTTTCCAAACAGTGACTGAGGTGCTGTATATAATACAACCATCAGAATTATAAAATTACAACTTCTGGAAAAAAATCTCAATGACACCTGCATTTAGTTTCCAGGTGTTGTTTTGTTGTTTAACTCAGTCCTTGCCTTCTTTGTTTTATGAGCTGTTTTTTAAGTGCTTAATGATGATTTTCTTTGTGTTTTATAGAGAAGTTGGGGTTCCATGTGTAGAACTAACATAAAGGCTTTCTTACAAAACTAATTTTTCTGATGCCCTCATGCTCAGGCATTTCCATTAGACAGTGCTTCTTGAAGTTACCACTTAGTCAGCTAAGGGGTAATGATGAGGGCGAGGCTATGTGAGGGCCATTTCCTTTCAAGCTAAATGACTGGAGTCACAGGCAGACTGCTGGCAGGAAATGATAAACAATCTCAGGTCAGAGAGATTTTGTGAGGGACAAAGAGAAAAATAAGTCATAGTTTCTTGTCTTTGTCAATTTTATAAGGGAACAGCCAATAAATACCTTATCATACCATTTAACATTTAAATCAGAATGAGAAAAGGAGTAAGAGAAAGATAGTTAATCAGTAGAGAGTCCCACCATAATTGGAGGTCCCAGGGACACCACAAACTCAATGCAAACTGTGCTTATCATGTTCTTCCCTCTGGGACCTACTTCTCATCTTGGGTTCCCAATTTCAGAGACCAGGTGAAACATCCTCCTGGTCTCCCAAGTTCCAGACCTGGAAATCATCCTATTTCTTCCATCTCCCCATCTAGTTAATCACAAAAGCCTGCTAATTTTACTTCCTAAGTATTTCTCTATCCTCTCCTTTGTCCTGCTTCCATAGTGATCTAAAGCGTTCATTATTATATCAAAATGATCTCTTTCTGTGTTTGTCTTCCCTAATAGAATTCAACCTATTCAAGGAGAGGCAATTGTCTTACTATTGTTTCCAAAACATTGGCACCTAGTAGGTGCTCCATGTACGTTTGCTGACATGAACTAAGAGAGAAACATAGGAAATCACATAAGATGACGACTTCCTAGACTGAGGACGAGGATAATACTTAGTAAAACACAAATTAAACCGGTTCCACCAAATATTTTTAGTAAAAATATAAATAGGATAGAAATCCCTAGTGTATGAATTTACACACATTTTCCCCGTCTGTCTGTTTCTGCCATCTTAGCATCTTATCTTTAACTTGCCAAACTAATGGGGGTTATATTGGAACCCTGGAGACAAATCATTTTTGTTTCTGAAGCAAGGAAATTTATTAGAATCCTGATTATCACACACATCTTCCCGTAGTTGTTGAGGCAAAATGGTTTGACATCAAACCTCCATTATCCTACATTTCAGTCATATCAGAGCCTTTCCACCAGAATGCCATGGTCCTAGATGTTCTTTCCAATCTGTTGTTGATACACAAAGATGCCTCCTATCCCTGATGGTTCTCACATGCCTCTCACATCTCTAGAATGTGCTGAGGATGGTTGGAGACACTATGTTGATGCCTATTTTCTATGTGCCTTTGGCTTGGCCATCATATCTTTAGGAGTGATAGCTGGCATGTGTAATTTGTATGGATTACAGTAGATCAGAGAGGAGAATTGTGGCAAGAAAGATAGTGGAACTGTGGGGAATTGCCGAGGAGATTTTTTGCAAACATAGATTTGGGGACCATAAGCTAGCTGATTTCTCCAGTCCTTTGGTTCCTGCCATGTTTGTTCATGATTGGGAGGAGTAGTCAGGTCCGCATTAGTGGAAAATGGAAATAATTGTTGTTGCAAGTGTTTATTTAGTGCTTACTGGGTACCAGGCAATGTTTTAAGTGTTTACTATATAGTAACTCACTTGATCCACTCCAAAACCTCATGAGGTTTCATAATGTTACTGTAAAGATGTGGATTTCCCTCGCTCATTCACCAGCTTGGGATACTTCTCCAGGCAGATACATAGGAGTACACACTTGGAGATGGTGAGAATGAAGCAGCAAATCCTCTGGGTCTCTCTTTGCCCATCATTAGGTCAATGGCGTGACGGTTCACGGAGCCACGCCCCTCTACAATGCTTGCTGTAGTGGCAGTGCTGCGTGTGTCAATGTGCTGCTGGAGTTCGGAGCCCAGGCCCAGCTCGAGGTGCACCTGGCTTCACCCATCCATGAGGCAGTGAAGAGAGGTAAACGAGCCACCACAATGCACACAAAACACTGATGAGCCAATCTGCATCAGTCAATGGTCTAGTATTAGCTATGCAAGGGTTGCCTGGATCTTCCTCACCATTAAAATATGTGTGGCTTAGAAATCCCACAGTAGTAACTTGAACTTGTGAATCTTCAGGAAGTACCACTGTGGCATAAAGCAGATCTTCTTATAACCTTGGAATGTCTTGCTGTCTCAGATGTCCCATTTCCTGGGGACAGTTTCTTAGCAGACCTTTCCTGAGCCCCTTTGCTGGTATTTTATTGGCAGCTTGTGCAGCCAAGATAGCAGTTGTGATTTCCGTTAATTGTGCTGTGCTTATGTCTCTGTCCTTAGTAGACAAGAACAGTTCATCCCCCAAAGCCCATAAAACACCAACCACTAAGCTAAAATAAATTATGAAAGTGTCTAAAAGCCAAGGCTGATACTATCTTTAATGGAACAGTAAATGTAATTGTCCACAACAAGTAATACACTCTAGATGAGCTGATGACTTCAAGGTCATAGTCACTGAAAAAAACAAGTTGCAACTTTACAGAGAATGGCATTGGAAATCTTGAAGTTGACCTAGACTCTTGTATTGTCAGTTACTTTTGAAATGAGGGGGAAAAGTAAATTTAAGGAATTTAAAAACTATAGGTAAAGACTAGACATGAACAAGAAAATGCCATTGAAAGAACAAGGGCATTTGTCAAAGGTCACACCTAAAGAGCAACATTTTGGTGATACCCAGTGGTGGGGTTATTCTCTTATCTTGAGATCAGATTCAATAGAGAAGTTAAAACACTCTAGAATAGTGATCTTTACTGGTATAATTGGGGATGAAAGTTTTTATTTCAAAAGGTAACAATGAAAGATTTGCGCCAGGTCACTAAACATGTCACTTGGAATTTTTTTTCTAGTGGATTACTTTAAATGATACAAAAGACCCAAATCTCAGTGTATCTATGTCTTCAATGTCCTAAATGTATTTAATAAATATTTATTGATAACTGATATTAGTCATTTCCCAAACATCAAGTAAGTCCTTTAAATTGTAGAGTAATGAACTATTTTAGAAATGACATGAAAGTCTTTAAAAAAAATTTTAATATTGATTTGAAGTAAAAATTAATGTTATTTGTATTTCCATCCAAATGTTTAAAACTGGATAAATGAATGGTTTGAATTACTTAAGTAATTCTGCAGTGTTTGGCTGATTATGTATTGATTGCTTGGTATCTATGTGCCTGCAAAATATATATATGCTTATCATAAACACACGATTCATGTGTCTCTATTTTTGTCTATATTAGAAAAGCATGCTAAGGACCAACATCCACAGAATGGAAAAATGATTAGCAAATTCATTAGTTTACATACTGTTATATTAGTGCTAATCATTTAACTTTTATATATTCATTTTTAAAACTTACTGAGATTTGACTCAAACTAGGCTCAATTTCTTGTTCTTCAAAAAAAAAAGACAAGAGTTATGCAAAAATACTTATTAGATACTCGATATTTGTCAAGCAATTTTAGGTACTAACTAGGTATTATTTCTGGATTCTTAGAGCTTTAAACCTCTGTGAACAGGCTGAATCACAGTCTGAGTCAATACCTTGACATATAATGGTATAATCCAGGTTTGATATTTACTTATGTGAACAAATAATTTGAATTCACAGACTCCTAGCTTGTATATTTTAATACCTATTTATACTCAATCCAGAATTTGTGATAAATCAGGCAGGTCTAGGATGAAGCTTGCTTTTATGTTATCTATAAAGAAAAGGCTGGTAAATTAATTAGTAATGATAAGATTTTTTTTAGGGAAACATTTAAAACTTCAAAGAGAACTAACTCTTTGCAAGCTCCCATCAAGCATTCCCTCCTGAACAAAGCATTAATATGCTGCAAATTAATCATGTCTATCTCTTCATTGGGCAAACTCCCGAAGGAGAATGCTTGCTTACATAGTTCTTTTTAGCCACTGAATTTGAAAGTGTATTTAAATATTTTCTATCCTTGAGACTTTTTATTCATTCTCATAGGTGTCTTTCAGGCTGACCAAAATAAGGTTGCAGGCCACACACCCAATCTCACATGCATGGGTGAAGAAGAGGATGAGAGATTTGTAATGGAAAGGGGACAGGGTTCACTTGGGTTTCAGCACTGGCTTTTCAGAGTAGTAATAGGGTCAGTCATTTACCCTCAGGATCGCGTCACTTCCATTTGTAAAAAGATGGCTTCATCCTAGAGAGTGATTTCAACTGTGCTCCTTGGAGCCCTCAGTTTAGTTGGAGTTACCCCAGGGGCTGCAAAAAGGAATATGGGTGGGGAAACATGAACATGCTCCTCTTTTGATTTGTTTTATTGTGGGAGTTTCTACCTAAGATTTCTAGAAACAAAGATTTTTTTTTTCCTGCTACAAAAAGAGATCTAGGTTATTTGTAAAGCCCATTTCAGATAAGCAATCCTAGAATTCCGTGAATATTCGATATGTCCCTTACTTGAGTGAGGTGATCTTGTGTCCCACCAGGTCACAGAGAGTGCATGGAGATTCTTCTGGTAAATAATGCTAACATTGACCAAGAGGTGCCTCAGCTCGGAACCCCCCTGTATGTGGCCTGCACCTACCAGAGGGTAGACTGTGTGAAGAAACTTCTGGAATTAGGTAATTTCCAGATCTAGAAATCTTTTCCTGAAAAGAACCTGTTAACATTGTTGGTTTTCTACAACTTCAAAGATGAAATTCTTGTCAGGCTGGAAAAAATTCTGATAGCATTTGATGTTTGAATGCTAAAAGCAGAAGTTCTCCAGAGAAATGAATGTCTGTATTTCTCAGTTCTGCTTCTTTTGATGTTGGCTCCATTTACCTGGTATTGTTCTCCCTGGTGGTCTCAAGATGGCTGCCAGCAACACCTGGGCTTATAGCTCTCCTCAGCCATACATAGCAAGAAAAGAGCATTGGCTTTTTGTGAGTCACACGCCCATCTCTGAACCCCTCATGGTGGCCGAGGGAATACAATAAGGCGATGGGGTTAGGCCTAGATTTCAGCCTACTCTGCAGTTATTAGACTTCGCTGGAAACAGGAACTGGGAATCATAAGAGAGTGGTTCCCTGGAGGGAAATTGAGGTATGGTTACCAGGAAGATGCTGGACAGTAAAAACAACAGCCATTTGTCACAGACTATTTTATATCTATCCTGCTAAGTTATTTGGTCATTTTTTTTAAAAATTCTAAAAAGCATATACAGAAACTGAGAGTCCAGGGAAAAGTAAAATATCTTGAAACTCTTATTTGGTTAAAGATTCAACAAACTTAGCCCCTGACCAAAAAAAAAAAAAAAATGGAGGTCATAGTAAGAAATTTTAGTTGAGAATTTTTATCTTCAAGAACTTTTTTGTCTTTTTCATTCCTAATAATTTACTATTCCCTATAGTAAGTTCAGAAATCTTTTTTTCTTGAGCCCCAAATAATATAAATACTAAATAAACTTAGAGTTTTCTTTTGCCAGAAACATAATAACTACGTAACAGGGGTCTCAAATATTTTATTTTGTATGTCACACTGTTTGTATAGGAAAGCAAGTAAAGCATTTAAAATGAACAAAAATATTGAAACTCATTTTTTCTCATTAAAATATTTTGAAATGGTCTTAGTAGGCATTGCTGAGGTTCTAGGCTTAAGTCATATATTTTCAAAGATTTGTGAAATATGTCATAGCACTGCACATTTGTGGCTCTTTGTGTTTTACATTAACATGTTGAAATGTGGCCATGTGTTTTGTTAAGGAGCCAGTGTCGATCGTGGCCAGTGGCTGGACACCCCCCTGCACGCCGCAGCGAGGCAGTCCAGTGTGGAGGTCATCCGCCTGCTGACCGACTATGGGGCTAACCTGAAGCTCAGAAATGCTCAGGGTAAACGCGCACTTGATCTGGCGGCTCCAAAAAGCAATGTGGAGCAGGCGCTCCTGCTCTGCGAAGGTAACCAAAGGCTGGGTGTCTGATTCCGTTCCATAAACACACTGTCTCTCCCTCCTGTCTCATCCCTAGCATTTTTTCCTTTTTTTTTTTTTGCTTTTTAATTGAGGGTGGCATAGTGGGAAGTGGCAAGCCTTGCCATCATTGACATGACTTCTGGGATTTTACATGTTGTGGTTTTAAGTATTCACTTATAACCAAAGGGCATCTACATACAACCTGAGTGTTGCTTTGTATTATCCGTAACAAGGGAATAACCAGCAAACCTTGTTTTTACCCTGAAAATTTTGAACTGCCACATCTATCCTGGCGTAAGCACACGGTTGAACAAACTAAAACTCTGCTTTGTAATATCAGGAGGCAATCCAGGTGCAAATTCCAAAGACTTGTGTTAGAGGAGGTAGGGGGGACACAGGGTATGTATTTCAAAAACCTGGCTAAATAGTGAGGTTGTTTGCCTGTTCAGATCGGAAGTAGGTGGGTTCACATTCCTCATTGCCACAGTCCCAGTTCCACCATGGGCATTAACAGCAACTATAGATGCCTAAGGAGAAAGGTGAGCTTCTCAAATGCTTCATATCCCAAATTCAAAAGAGAATCATGTTATATCCCTACAGCAAGAGAACATTTTCTGAGCCTATATTGATCATTCGTATGCTTGGGAGAATATTAAAAATCATTGTAATTATTTAGCTTTACATGTGCCAGACACCGAGCTAAATTTGAAAGAGATTAATCTCACTGAATTTTTAAAACTGTAGAGCAGCAAGAACTTTATACAGTAGTAGCTGATGCTATGCATAGAGAGATTGGCTTGCAGAAGGTCACACAGATACTCAGAAGTAGAACTAGGTCAGATTTTAACCAACCTGTCTGACCCCAGAATGTGCACTCTTAATGTAATGAGGCCCCAATCTTGAATCTTCTGAAACAGTTTCCAGTGGGGAGAGGTCTCATTTCACTCACCAGTTCCATTTTGTGAAACCGCCCCCATATCTTAAGTGGAATACTTGGTTTAATCATTTTAGGAATAGTCTCTCTAAATCAGTGCTTCTTAAGCTTTAACATGCATACCAGTCACCTGGGGATTTCCTTAAAATGCAGATTCTGATGCAGAAGATCTGGGGTGAGGCCCAAGACAGTGCACACCTAGCAGGCTCCTAGGTGATGCTGATGCTGCTGGTCTAAGGACCACACTTTGAGAACCACTGGTCTAGATTATTTCCGATAGTCTAGATCATTAATGATTGCTCTTTGATTTGAATCTCCACTGGAAGGATTATGATCTTCCTTACCAGGTCCCAGTTTGGAAATATCAGGTACTTTCCGACCGTTAGCCGAGAATATAGCTTATAGCAGTTTTCACATTTCCTGTTTTCGTCCATCAAAAATGTTTCCAGATCTAGGATTTGAATTCCATATAACCAAGTTCCTCTGTCCTTTGTCTTCATTAAATATAGCCACTTGCTCTAGAAGGATGAATACCAGATACATCAGAATTCACTCTGGTGTCTGAACTTCTCTAGACAAGCTGGAAAATTTGTCTGCATTACAGTTTTTCAGAGGAGCTTAAGTTGGACAACAGGTAGAGACACTTTCCATTCTCACTTCCCAAGATTTTAACTAAGGATGATTCTTTGGTTCTCCAGGTAGCTTTCTATCACATTCATGCTCTTGGCAGTGTCCATTCAAATGTCACCTGGCTATTTGTACATGCAGTTTACCATTTTTCATGGAGTGCAGGATGATGTTACAGTAGGATTTTCTTGAAAAGGAAAACTTTGTACAGGCCAGTAATTAAATCTACTTGAAGAGATCTTTGTTGATACAGTCAGGTTAGAAAATAAGGGAATATTATGACTGTCCCTATATAACTAGCATTCCAGCCAAAAGCTCATTCATCCTATCCAACCATATTTTGGACTCTCATCAACTTGTTTTCCTTAAGGATTCAAAGCCACTCAAAGCCATAGGCATGATGACTCCATAAGACTTCATGAGACTGAGGTTCAGGGGAACCAAGTGAGTTGAGTTCTTTCTGCAGATCTCTATTGAGCCGGGATCCTTGCAAGAATGGAGAGCCCCTCCAGGTGTGAGCTGGGACACAGCCAGAACCACCTCATGGGCAGCTTGAGCCAGGAGGTCCAGGAAGACTTTGAGGGCTGAGCATCTGGCCCCTGGTACATCTCTTAACACTGCCTCTGTGACCACATGGGTGCAGCTTCCTGCTGACACCCTCTCTGCAGTTGTCCCTCTGTTCTGCAGCTCTGTCTTGGAGTCCTGCATGCTCAGTACTTCCATTTGCATGTTTTCCTGGGCCAGTATATCACTTTCATGGACACATGCAACACGTCAGTGAGGTGCATTCCCTTTAGACCTCACACGTCATTCCTAACGTGCCTCTGATTCTTCAGTATCGGTAATACAATTGCCATTGGAAGACCAATCCAAAGAAATACATCCCCTCCGGAGGGGCGTATCATGATCCTCTGTCTGTATTTAGTGTCTGCTACCTCATTCTATGATTCCTATGTAGATCCAGCTTCTCTTCTGCTTTTAGAAAGTTTCAGCCTCTTCCAGTTTTCTGCACTCCTATTTCTACCCCCGATCCCACCCCACCACTATGAAGTTCACACCATTTTTATTCCTCCTACAGGCCCGCTTGCTCTTTCCCAGCTCTGCCGCCTGTGTGTCCGGAAGTGCCTGGGCCGAGCATGTCATCAAGCTGTCCACAAGCTATGTCTGCCAGAGCCACTGGAAAGATTCCTCCTATACCAATAATCCCAACTGCTCCTGAAAAAATACTTGGAAATAGGTTGTTGTCTGCCGTAGCCAGGGTACCTAGTGTAGACGCGCAGTAGCTAGACTCTCAATATCTTCAAACAAGCTCAGCCAGTGAGAGTAAATCCCTGATAATTGGGAACACTTGAGGTGTGGAAACTCCTGGGTAGTTTAAGTTCTTATCACTCAAGGGACAATTAGAAACCTTTTGGTTTTTACCTCTTTTTGTTAACAAACTTTAAAAACGTGTGAAGTAGGGTGAAAATGATAGGCTATTTTCTGATGATTCAGGATCTTCTTATCCCTCAAGGTCAACCTATCATTTAGACACATGTAAATTCAGGTGGATAAGATTATAATGAATGTTAGGTATTCTAAGAAATGTTCCTGATTTAGTTCCTCACTTCTGCCCCATTTCCTTCCTCGAATAAATCTTTCCTGTAATTTTGGTTTCTCTGTCTTTGTGTGTGCGTGTGTGTGTGTGTGTGTGAATGAAGCTATATATACATATACATATATATATATATATATATACACACACACACACACACACACACACACACAGAGAAAGCTAAATACTTTAAAAACATCACAATTGATGGAGGCTTCCAATTACTGAGGTCTTGGTTGATTAGAGAGACTTTGGAAGAGATTAACTTGCCCAGATGTTGGGATCCATTGACCATCACTTCTGATATTAAATGCTATTCTTCAGATAAGCAGTTCCAGGATTGAGCAACACTGGGTGCCCCAGACAACCCGAGCAGACAGGCACTGTCTGATGCATGTTGCAACCCAAGCATTGGCTTATTTTCAAAGTCAAGATCTGCAGCGTTTTTGAAATAACGACACGTAGATGCCAGCCATCAGGTGGCCTCAATTTTGGGTCAATATACTTTTCCATGGATAGGGGCCCCATATAAGCACAAAGGTGTATAAAAAGGGCTTTCTCCTCCTTTTTTCTTGTCTCCTCCTCCCTCTTCCCATCTCTCTCCCCTTCTGCCTTTCTGCCTCTGCTCCTCCTTTCCCTTCCTCTCCTGGGTGAATTTAGAACATGGGAACTGGATAGACTTATAATTATTGTAAGAATTGCTATCATGGTTCAGTGACTGTAGTTATATTAGCTTCATTATAATTATTGTAAGTATTACTGTCATTGTTCAGTGACTATAGTAATATTAGCTTCTAAAATGAAAATTCTCTCTCAGATGATCCTAAGATTCTTTCCAAACATGTATTTTTCTTCAGTTTTTTTAGACCTTTGGTTCCCAACTGGGGACAATTTTTCCCCAGCCCCACCAGGACATTTGGCAATGTCTGTAGACATTTTTGGTTGCAACAACTGGGAGAGGGATGCTACTGACAGAGGGTGGAAGCCAGGGCTAATTACCCTACAATGCATAGGACACCCCACAACAAAGAATTATCAGGTCCAAAACATCAACAGTGCTGAGGTTGAGAAACACTGCTCTAAACCTGTGCTACTCAATACGATAGCTACTAGCTACATATAGCTATTGAGCACTGGAATTGTGGCTAGGCCGAATTAAGGTGTGCTATAAGTATAAAATGCACATCACATTTTGAGGATTCAGTACAAAAAGAACGTGAAATGTCTTATGAATAACCTTTGATGTTATATTTTAGTTTTTTGAGAAAACTCCATACTATTTTCCATAATGGCTGTACTAATTTACATTCCCACCAACAGTGTATATGACTTCTCTTTTCTCCACAACTTCACCAGCATTTGTCATTTTTTGTCTTTAAAAAAATTTCGTTTATAGTCTGGGTCTCACTCTGTCACCCAGACCGGAGTGCAGTGGCACAATCATAGCTCACTGCAGCATCGATCTCCTGAGCTCAAGCGATCCTCCCATCTCAGCCTCCTGAGTAGCAGGGACTACAGGTGCCACCACCACACCCAGCTAAATATTTTTGTCTTCTTGATAATAGCCATTCTAACTGCGGTGAGATGATATCTCATTGTGGTTTTGATTTGCATTTCCCTGACGATTAGTGATATAGAGCATTTTTTCATATACTTGGCCATTTGTATGTCTTTTTCTGAGAAATGTCTAGTCAGATTCTTTGCCGATTTTTAAAGCGGATTATTTGTTTTTTGCTGTTTGAGTATGATTCAGCAATCTCACTGCTGGGTATATATCTGAAAGAAAGGAAACCAGTATGTCAAAGAGATATTTTCTGCACCCCCATGTTTATCGCAGCACTATTCATAACAGCCAAGATATGGAATCATTCTAAATGCCCATCAACAGATGAATGCATAAAGAAACCGTGGTAGATATATGCAATGGAATACTATTCAGCCTTATAAAAGAAGGAAACTCTGTCATTTGTGGCAACATGGATGAGCCTAGAGGACATTATGTTAAGTGAATTAAGCCAGGCACAAACAGATAAACACTGTATATTCTCACTAATATGTGGGAAAAAAAAATTGAACTCACAGAAGTAGAGAATAGAATTATGCTTATTAGAGGCTGAGAAGGGTAGAGGGGAGGGGAGAATAGGGAGAGGTTGGCTAACAGATACAAAATTATAGTTACGAGAAATAAATTCTAGTGTTCCATAGCACTATAGGGTAAATATAATGCATTGTATATTTTCAAAAAGCTAGAAGAGAGGATTTTGAATGTTCACACCACAAAGAAATGATAAATGTTTGAGGTGATGGATATGCTAATTACTCTGATTTGATCATTACCCATTGTATACATGTATTGAAATATCACTCTATACCCGCCAAATATGTACAATTATTACATGTCAACTAAAAATAAAAGACCAAAATAACTTTTGATGTTGATCACACATTGAAATGATAATATTTTAGATATATTAGGTTAAATAAAATATATTATTAAAATTGATTTTACTTGCTTCTTTTTTACTTTTTTAGTGTGACTACAATAACATTTGAAATTACATATGTGGCTCACACTATATTTCTGTTAGCACTGCTCTAGATTTTTTTCCTAATTTTTACAACTTTGGAATATCTAATAATCTTAATTAGTTAACTATCTGGGGGAAAAAGGTTAAATTCTTATCTTGCATCATATTCCAAAAACAAATCTTGTTTTTTTGGAAAATGTTTAAAAAATTTAAATAATGCTATAAAAAAACAGGAATAAAATGTACATGAATGTACATGAAAGGGAAGGCATTTTCTAAACATTATCAAAGGCAGAAAGTTTAAAGAAAAATACTGATAAATTAGAATACATTAAAAATTGTATTGCAAAAAATGAAAGGGCAAACCAAAATGGAGTAAATCTGAGTGTAACATTTATGGCAGATAAAAGGTTAATATTTTGACTATGTAACTAGGACAAAGGAGACCCTCACACTCCACCCTTAGCTTCCCCCTTTTTCCCAGTGGGAAGCAATTGTTTGGGATATCTTTTGGTGAACAGGGATGTTAATACTCAATCCTCACTTCTGTGAGTTACTGCTTGTAAAATATTGAAACAACCCAAACCTTCAGTGAAGTCTGAAATATGTATGATATCTTGTGTATCTTTTTTAGAAGATACCAAGGAAAGAGCCTAGATTATTTATCTGGCTCTACATGCTATAATATATGTATTGCGTTACATGGTAGGAAAACAGTATGTAAATTCACCTGTTCAGGTGGGATGGACATTTCCTTCTGTGAGACATGTGACAAGAAAAACAAACTCCTGAAGAATTTTCAAAACTCTTAAGGAAGGTAATTTTTACAAGTCTTGGGGAAAGTATAAGATATTCTAAAATCAATGGAAGGAGATAGGATTCAATTTGCCCCAAATATTAAAGGACAGAGTGATCTCAGCTGATATTTACATTTTAACATATAAAGAGTTCCCTTACAAATCATTAAGAGTAATACGGGTTCATGAATAGAAATACTAGCAAAGGGAATGAATAGGAAACTTATCAAAGGTGACATTGAAATACATAGTCATAAGAACAATGTTAAAGATGTAAAATTGATTGAGAGAAAGGATGGATTTGAAACAGGTTGAGGAGCCATTTGAGCCATCGCTAGCCATGGAAAGATCAAAGAGGAAAGAGTGGGAGAGTCTCTTCCTGTCATAGAACATTCAGGAATTGGAGGCTTTCCTTTTTCAAAGTGCTCTCCTGAGTGCTTTTTTTTTTTTTTTTTTTTTTTGGTTAAGTGGGATCTTGCTGAATGTCTAAGCTATGTGTTAAGCCATGGGAGGATATTCAAACTGTTTGTGACTCCAGGGAATTTAAAGTCCTGCTGTTCCATTCCTCTCTGAAACTTCAGATCATGGATTCTACAAATCATTTGTATGGACCTCCCAGTCCTGGTAGGCCTGTGTGTGTGTGTGTACTGGGGGAGCTGGCACCCAAATCTTGAGTGTGTGTGTAGTACCCAAATCCTGTACTGGGTTCTGAGAGACCACTCACCAGAACCCATCTGATAGGCCAGGTCCCTGCATCTTGGAGTGGTGTTAATGTCTTACAATTTATGAATGAAGGTGTTGGAAATGAGATAATCTTTAAATTCCCTTCAAGCCCTACATTCCATTAAGCTATATTTAGACCATCAGACTAATCGTCTGGTTTTTATGAGATTATTTTGCCTACCGTTTGGGGTTCTTAACCACTAATATAGATTATTTCATTTTTTCATACTATATGGGATGTTTTTTCTCAAAATAGTATAATTTTTACAATTTCAGTCATGTTTGAAGTACTTAGGATAACTTCTCAATTAATTCATTCAACACATTTTTACTCAGCATCTATTATGTGCCAGACACTGTAGAACAGTGTGAAAGACAGACATGGTGTTTGCTCTCGAAAAACTTATGTGTTAATGGGAGCAACAAGGAATAAGTGACAGTGAAATATATAACATCATTTCAGGAAGTGATGAACAGAAAAATAAAGCAGTTTAGAATCAAGAGTGATAGCAGAGGACTACTATTTTAGATTAGTTGTTTAGGCAAGGTCTTTGGCAGGGTGACTGATTTTAAAATAATTATTCATGTATGTATATAATATTTATTAGTTAATTTTTACTGTTAAGGTTTTTCAGTATTTTCAGTACATGTTTTTCATCTCTTTGCCTGATTTAACATAAATATCCTATTTTAAAACTATTTGTGATTCCTGCTTTTCCCACAAACCATTCTGTAATGATTTTCTCAGTTTCAAACCCTTTGCAATTATCCTTTCAAATGGTTGTATCATATTCCTTAACTATTTCCATATTGTCGGGTATTTGGATTATTTCTAATTTCTTGCTCTTACAGATAACATTGGCGTGAACTTCGATATTTTTTAATAAATCTTTAAAAATATCAAGTATTTCTTAGAAGATTACCAGATGCGGGATTTACATATAAAAAGCCTACTTAAAATAATAGTTTAAAATAATTTAGAATATATACACAATTAATCATTTTAAGGGAAAAATCTTTTCATAACCAAATAAATACCCAGTATTGCCTATGTATATACCATCTGACTATGTCTATGTAGATATCTAATGTATCTATTTACCATTTATCAAGCTATCATTTATCTGACTATATCAATCCATCATCTGCCTTGACCTATGATTTAAAAAAAAAATAAGCTTGCTATGTCACTTGAAGATTTAAGCCTCAACACTTTTAAAATCCCTTGAATCATTTAAATGTTTGGGTATGTCATTCAACATCTCTAAGTTTTTGTTCACATTTTATTCTTCTCCCAAAGTAATTCTCCTCCCTGATATTTCTAATATTGCCACGGCAAATGCACATGAGGTTTGTAGCTGATTCTTTTTTCAGTTGCAATGCTCATTGCTGGGAAGATTTTATGCACTGAACACAAAGAGAATAGCTGACGCTTCAGAGACATCGCCTGAAGCTGCCTCGGTGAGGGATGAATCGCTGGATAACCACAGCTTGTCAGGGGAAAATGCTCTCCACCCCGGAGGACCTCACATTGTCTCCCACTGCCAGTCACCACAGGGTCTGCTCTCGCGTGGATATATTCCATTTGCATAGGGAATATATCCTCTCCTTCCCTTAGCAGAGTCTGTACCAGAACAAACACACAGATCATGGTTGGAATAGCAGCTTCCTATTTTTAACAAATTTAGCTTGTGAAAAAATGTATGCCATGTTTTTATTTCCATTTATCAATTTTCTTCCTCCACCATTATTATATCTCAAAAAGTTTCCACTTTACAGAAAAATTGCAAGAATAATACAATGAGTATCTGTACATCTATCGCCTCAATTTACCAGTTGTTAACATTTTGCCACATTTGCCTCTCTGTGTATGTGTGTATGGATGCGCACCTACACACAAGCATGCATACATATATGTATATGCATGTACGTGTGTAACACACACCTACGTAAATATTAATGTATTTACATATGTAAACCCATATATAATCAATACATTGACATATTTAAAAAATGAACTATTTCTAAGTTGCGGGTGTCATGATCCTTCACCAGGGCGAGGATTAGGATGAGCTGAATGAGGCAAAAAATTTAAGAGGGCATTGAAAGGTCGATATTTTAGTGCAATGTTTTAAAAAGCCAACATTAAGACAAAAAGCCCGTGATGGCCAAAATATCAAAAATCTTAATAAAGACAGGCTGTTGTTGTTTGTTTTGTGACTCTGCATCATTGGGCAATGAGAGCAGTGGTTCTGGGATGTGTGGCTGCTGGGTTTATGTGGAATGACAATAGCACGCAAACAGATTGGGCAACATGGGCTTTATTTACGTTCGTGTGTTTTGACTGTAGAGCTTACGTTAACTTTTTCTATTTGGTGCAAAATATGTACCTAGGCACACATTTCTGCCTTGGTCTCCCATATGGCTCCGCACCAAGCACTTCAGTGCACATCTCCTAAGAACACAGAGCTTCTACAGAACTGGGGTGCAGTGATGGCACGTGGGAAGTTTGACACTGATTCAGTATGACCGTCCAATATACGTCCAGATCGAAGTTTCCACAATTGTGGCATTGATGTCTTTTCTGTCTTGTTTCATTACTCAGGATCCAATCAAGTCTCTTTATTCTCCTTTAATTTAGATAGCTTCCTCTTCCCACTTTTGACTTTCTGCCATTGGCATTTTTGAAGAGTCCAGCCCCATTGTTATGTAGACTGTCTCTCAATTTTGGTTCACCTGATTGTTTCCTCAAGAATACTGCATTATGCCAGATTTTTAAAAACACATTTTTCTTTGAGTCTTATTGCACTGCTTGACGGAGTAGGACTGAGTGCTCTCTAAAGCAGTGACATCAGATGCCTCAGCGTGCAGACCCGGGTATGGGAGAACAACTGAAATACATAGGATTTTTGCCAGAAAATCAGGGAATTCCAAGTTCTTGGAGCAGATGTGTACCTTTTAGGTTTTAAAGATTTTGTGCTAGAAAAATTGCCAGCTGGAAAAACAAGAAGGTTTAGCTCCTGGGCCAACTTTGACTAATTGGAAGTGACCTCGGAGGCTCCCCAAGGCCTCAGGAGGCGTGCCTTGGACATCTAAGTGAGGGGTGAGGCAGAGGCACTGGCTAGTGTGAGCTCTGCGCCTGGTAAGGAATGACCATGGCCTTAACCCTCTGCTGCGAGCAGTCATTCTGTTTTCATACCCAACCTGGATCAATTTCACTGAACCTCCAGACACAGTGGCACACACAGGGAGGGCTGACTAGAAGTTGGTAAGATTGCTTTTCTCTTATGGCTCGTGGTAACCCAACCCACTTCTCCATAGTCGCAGCTCCTATACTCGTGATTCAACTTTATCCTCATACAAATCCTTCAAAATGCATAAACTCCTCTTGTAAAGAACTGTTGTTAAACAGTTAACAAAATTCAGCTTCCTCCTCCTATTTACTAGGGTTGATCAATGTTATAAATACAACAAGAAGATTAAAAGCTGATGAATTCTTTCCCAGGAAGGAGGGCAGCAACCTGGAAATGTTCTTTATTTTCATTTTGGAACTGAAAACTTTATCTTCTTCGAATGTAATTAAAAGTAAATAAAGAAGTTGTGCTATGAAGATTTTACTTGGAAAGGGTGGATAGAGTATCCAGCTCCCCTTGTGCCCCTCTGTTTAACTTCTTCCCATCCAGTCTATGTTGGGAGCACATTTCTCACTCTCTACCAAATACAAGTTTATCATTCTTCAAATCTTTCCTGATGGAGTAGGGAAGAATTTGTATGACTATGGCATTCTCAGTTAATTCTGCAAATAGAGATGGAGGGCACTTTGGTAGTGTTTATCCCGATGTTAAATAAGCAGCCGCTTGTTAAAATTGAAATTTGTATTGAAAGAATTATAGATTCACATGCACTCGTAAGAAGTAACAGAGAGATCTCCTGTACTCTTTGCCCAGTTTACCACAATGGTAACTTTTTGCAAAACTGTACTACAATATTATAACCGGGAAATTGACGTTCATGCAATCGGGACATTTAAGCAATCTACTTCTCTTATTCAGAAATTCCCAGTTTTACTTGTATTTATTTGTATGTGTGTGTGTTTAGTTCTATACAATTTGTCACACATGTAGGAGCGTGCCTTTGACTCAGCATTTCCACTTTTAGGAATTTCTCCTCTGGAAATATTTGCATATATGCACAAAGCCACATGTACAAAAATATGGACTGCCATCTTTTTGTGGCACTAAAAGAAATGGTGACATTCTGTTTGCATCATTAGGGGCTTAATTAAATACTTCTTGGCACAATATGGAATGCTATGCAGCAGTGAATAAAGAAAGGCGCTCAGCTGTTACAAGCCGAAATGGAAAGATCTCCCAGGCAAATATAGGTATATTTATGTGAAAAATGTAAAGGGATAAATGTGCAGACATCTGTATGCACAGAAATGCCTTTGAAAACATGAAGGACACCCTCAAACTGTTAACAGTGGCCACCAAATATTTCACCTGAGACTCCGTAAATCCAAAGCAGCAAGGCCACATCTTTGGCATTAGGACAAATCAGTGATCATTTTGCAGCCAGCCTGTGCTTGAGACTAACTCAGAGCCTCCTCCCATGCCATGAAAAATCCCCTTCCACCTGGAAGACAGGAGTAGTGGGGGGGTCTGTGAGTGGCCATCAGCCTAAAGCAGCACGCAGGGGTATAAGGAAACTGAGTTTATCGGAAAAGACACAGACCCAGAACACCCAAATATCTTGTCTATAGGTGAAATAACATTTTTCATAACTAACAATTTAAAGTTAGTGGGTCTCTTCTACACCCCATGCCACCTACCAATCCATTTTTCCAGTTGCAACCATTCATGATTTATTTAGAAGTAAAAATAAAATGTGTGGAGGAATGGTGAAGTAGGACATTTAATGAAATTTTTGCAGCTGAAAGGAATAAAACACTTCCTTCCAAATGTGCATTTTTGTAACATATAGACACATTTTCCCACAAGAAATTCCCAGCAAAATTGAAAGCACATGTGCAGATGGCCAGGGCGTGCTGTGCATGTTACTGTGCAGGCAATTCAGCAAGGCTGCTGCAAAACCAACCAGCTCTCTCAGCTCTGGGTGCTGGAGCTGGTCTGCACGAGCCCCCTTGCAACAATCAAGGTCTCAGCAGACAGAACCAAGTTGCAGGGAAAGTTCAAGCTGTTTCTCTCACCCCCACCCTGTTCCCTTGCTCTCCAAAAGTTACAAACTGTGAGTTTCCTTCCTGATAAAACTACAAAGCTTCCTCACTGATTGGTCTCAGTTTGGGAAAGGACGTGACATCAGCAACTTTGCAGGCTTTAGGCCTGGGGGCTGGTGTGGCCTTGGCCGGCCTCCAGCTAGCTAGGTAAAGAGAGAGAGAGAGAAAGAGAGAGAGAGACAGAGAGAGAGAGAGAGAGAGAGAGAGAGAGAGAGAGAAAGAGGAGTGACAGAGAAGTGTGTGTGTGTGTGAGAGAGAGAGAGACAGAGACAGACAGACAGACAGACACACGGGCCTGTCTGACCACAGGTAGTACTCAGATTACCCCGCCTGTACTGGTCTCTGCTGCAGACTGTCTGCCCAGGACGTGTGCAGCTCAGCCAGCCACAGACCTGGAATTTTTCAGGAGCAGGGGGAGCATGGAGTTTGGACTTCCCTGAGCAACTGAAGTGGAGCGTGCAGCTTGCTGACCCAGGAGAGCACCATGGATGCCGAACAAGGGGGCAGGAATGGCAGCAAGCCCCGGGGGCCAGCAGACCCTCCTGACACCAGGCTCCTTTCAAACCCATTGATGGGCGGTGAGTCATAGGGGCAGTGGAAGCAGGGCGCTGGGGAGGTTGGCTAACGTGCTCAGGAGGGAAGAGAGAGGAGAACTGGGCAATTTCAGTGGCTGCATCTGAGGTGTGTCCATGGGACAGTTACTGGACAGATGTCCACAGCTTGCTGGTATGTGTCCTTTACACAGTTGTTTAAAAATGTGTACCCCTCCATCTGCAGGATCCTACAGACAGTACAAATTCAACTGGCACAGCTTATTTTCCAGTGAAAATTTCAGCTCCAAGGAATCATTCTTTGTGGGTCAAATGCATTATTTATTCATTGGAGGTTTGAAAGTTTCTTACAGATAGGAAAATTTTTAATACTCAAACATTCCTTTCATTGAAAGGTCTTGGGTATCTGGCATTTAGGTGGGGCTGGGTTTATAAACGATTTTCAAACATTAAGCACTGATTGATTCATTTTATAAAGAGACTTTGTGTTTTCAACTTTGGAGAAGTGTTTCACAGGTACGGTTCTCACCTGGCAGATGGTGTCTTTGCTACCATATAGAGTCCCACGCATACGGGCACTGTCACACCCTTGTGAGCATTCAGCAGGTGCCTGCTGGCTGAAAGGATTCTGACAAATGGGTTTAGGCATTTTCGGAGAGATTGTTATATTCAGTGCCCTGGTAGGATGCCCACAACATCTATCTATCCGGGGGCAGTAAACAGGGACCCTAAAGTCAGCTAGAACTTTACTAATCTACTGTACAGGTGCTCAAAGGGGGGAAATAGAAGAAATAACATATAAAACTCCTTTCCTCTGACTGAACAGACAAACTTGCTCACTCATTCATTTATTTATCCAATTTTTCTCATAAAATGAGCAGAGCACTCAATGGTGAGTAGGATTTGGATCCACAAAGGAAGAACTAGATTAATCAGTAGGTATATTGAGCATGAATTTGGAGCACTAGGAAAGCAGAGTGGCACCAAAAATCACCTTTTACAAAGAATTTGATAAATATGTTTTTAAAGCAGCAAACCGATCATTATGGGAAAGAATCGGTAATTTGGCTGACTTTTGCACAATTATTTTACAGCTCAATATTATGTTTATTTTTGTTTCCACGTGGGACAGAGGCACCATCCACTTTTCACTGTTCAGGGTTTCTAAAGGTCCTAATGCAACCCTGGTTGGGGAAGGATGAGTGGATGGAGGTGGGCAGGTGTTACGCTCAGAGGTATGGTGCTTAGAAAGTGAACATATTGTTACAGCCGAAATGCAGAGTGTGCACAGAAAGGGAACATGTTGTTACAGCTGAAATGCAGAGTGTCTTAGGGAGTCTAGTGAGAACAAGTTTGCAGAGATGGGGCAGCTGATGAAGCTTTGAAATCTAGGTGGAGGAGTTAAGCCTTCTTGGGGCAGGGAATTGGGAGCCATCGGTGGTTCTGGAGCAGAGACCTGGCAATAATGAAGGCTGTAAATAAATTACTATGGTAGCTACAGTCAGGATAGATTATGGTGGGGGGATCATGGGAGATTGTTGCACTAATCCACTGGCTCTCAAACTCTCATGTGCCTCAACATCACCTGGAGGGCTTGTTAAAATGCAGGTGACAGGCCAGGCACGGTGGCTCACGCCTGTAATCCTAGCACTCTGGGAGGCCCAGGTGGGAGGATCGCTTGAGCTCAGGAGTTCGATACCAGCTCTGAGCAAGAGCAAGACCCTGTCTCTACTAAAAATAGGAAAAATTAGCAAGTCAACTAAAAATAGAAATAAGAAATTAGCCGGGTGTGGTGGCTCGTGCCTGTAGTCCCAGCTACTCAGGAGGCTGAGGCAGGAGGATCGCTTGAGCCCAGGAGTTTGAGGTTGCTGTGAGCTAGGCTGACGCCACGGCACTCTAGCCCGGGCAACACAGTGAGACTCTGTCTCAAAAAAAAAAAAAAAAAAAGGAAAATGCAGGTGATGCAGCTTCTGATGTTGTAGGTTTGGGGTGGGGCCTAGGAATCTGAATTCATAACAAGTTCCCAGGTGCTGCTGATGGGGACCACACTTTGAGAACCACTGCAGCAATCCAAACATAAAGCTTACATTTGGATCGAGCTTTGGAAACGACAGAGAAAGGGTGATAATTTCAAAGGACAGAAATCAAGCAAGCTGTGCTGCTTGATTGAATATTGGGTGTAAAGGAGAGAAGGCAGGCAAAATTGTAAAGTTTTCAGGCCTAAATTAATGTCAGATAAGAGAGCTAGATAAAGGAGAAGTTGGGAAGGGGAGTTGGCTTGGGAGCAGGGTGAGGAAGGGAGGACGTGGAGTTCTGTTTTCAACATAAAAGTGCCAATGACGATGCCCAGTGCACGGCATGAGGACATGGGACTGAGGCTTGGAGACGATTACAGGTTGGGAGTCAGAGACCTCAGGACATTCTGCAGAGGGGCTGTGGCTGAAACCCTGGGAAAGGAGAAACTGTCTGATGGCCAAGAGCTGAGAGCCCAGGGTGGAGCCCTGGGACAGGCCTCCAGTCCAAGAAGTAGGACCAATGAGTTGGACAGAGAAGCAGGTAGAGAGTGCAGATGTTGTCATCACACAGGGACTGAGGGAAGAGAAATTTTCAGAGAAGTGAAAGTCACAAGGGTAGATGCCTGGACACCTCTGCTCTCTTACCTCTTTCTCTGAATCTCACTAGCAAACTCCTACTCATCTTCCACACCCAGCTGGGCCACTGCCCCCATGAAGCCCTCCTAGGCTTTCTCCTTCTCCCTTACCCAAGTGGAGTCCAGTTATTCTTTCTCTGCTTTGCACCAGTCCTGCCCCTTGGGCAAAACCTCAGTTACGGCTGGTTGCATTTGTTTACGCTTCTGAAGTCTTGACCTTCGCGAAGTGTGGAATGTGGAACACTCAGAGTGCTGTTTCCAAATGGCCATACCAAGAAACTCAGCTCAGGTGAAGCATGTCCCCTGCACGAGGCCAGGTCGGAGGGACTAAATTGCCCAGGTATAATCGTGGGGAACTTTGCGGCTCCCATCTCCACCTGTAGGCTTTTCTCTGCCTCTGGAGGAGAGAGGACAGTGTAAGAAGATGGGCAACTCTTTATAGAGATTTGTTTAATTTTGACTCTCCTGAGCCAGGAGCAGGGAAAAAATGTCTTTTTTCCCCCCCTGAAAGTACCTTGCTATGAGTTGAACTGTGTCCTCTCAAAAGATGTATTGAAGTCCTAACCCTCTGTACCTGAGAATGTGACCTTATTTGGAAATAGGATCATTGTGGATGTAATTAGTTAAGATGAGGTCATTACTGGAGTAGGAGGGACTTTAATCCAACATGACTAGTGTCTTTATAAGAAAAGGAGAGGAGACACACAGGGCGAATGCTGTGTGACGAAGTGGTAGAGATTGGAGTGAAGTGTCTATACGAAGGAACAATGAGGATGGATGGCCATTGCCAGAAGCTGGGAGAAGCAAGGAAGGATTCTTTCCTAGAGCCTTCGGAGAGAGCATGGCTTTGCTGATACCTTGAGTTCAGACGTTTACCCTCTAGAACTGTGAGACAATACATTTCTGTTATTTTAAGCCACCCAGTTTGTGATACTTTGTTAGGGCATCCCTGGGAAACTAATTCATGCCTGCTCATAGAAACTTTGGAAATTACATTGAAGGATAAACTAACTACCCATAATCCCACCAAACAAGGAACCACTATTCCCATTTTTAGTGTCTACCCTTCAAGGTTTTGCCTGCAGACACACACTTGTATGGACGTTTCTGTCCTCACAACATTGAGCCCACATTGTAGAGAGCATTCACATTTAAACAGAAGACAGGTAAGAACAGGTATTGAAAGGAAATGCTTCTATTCTCTTATGATGGATTTTTAGCTATTGGGGTATCTCAGCAGGGGTGAGTTTTCTGGGGAAACTTGCCTGTTCAGGCAGAATGGGTGATAATGTGAGGTCCCTTTGGAGAAGGCAGCTCCATATTGAGAGGGGGGAGGGGGAGGCTGGATGGATGATGGAACTGGAGAAAGAACTGCAGTGGACAGGCCCGACTTGCCCAAGAGTTGCCTCAGTGGGCCTTTCTGTTTGCCTGTTTCTGACTGGGAGCCTCTGTTTCTGTTTCTCTTCTTTTTGTTTGTCCTGAAATGAAATCAAGGTCCACTACAATTATAAACACTGCACCCAGATCCTCCCCATTGTTGATGCATGTCACTGAATCCACCCTTATGTCTGAAGGCAAATGTTAGTGTCCCCTCGGAGCAACCCAGCTTCTCTTTTCTCCCCTTGACTTTGCAAAATGTTTCCCAGGATGGATAGACTTATGCTACTGCCTAGCGTTCACTAAGGCTCCCAGAACTTTGTTAATAGCTCTTTTCAGAATGTACCAATTAGTGCATTTTAAATCTCTTCTGAAATAATGGAAATTTAAAAAATTGTTCCAAAAGTTGCAATAAAAATGAAATGGCTGCCTCTCTAATGTGCTGCAGGTATGAGAAAGGCACAATTTCATAAAAAGCTACGTTTAATGGCACTAATTGGAGAACTTGTAGAGTGATTTTCTTACAAGAGCTCCCTGCCCCATTTTAAGTGTGGGCTGCATTACTGGATGTGACCTCATTTGGTATCTGTTTTTTTGGCAGCAAAACCAATAAACCGTGGCTGAACAAGTGTTGGGCAAGAATCCTTAATATATGCTAAGGTCTTGGATAATGTTTTATACACAGATAATGACCCTTGGGTTTCAAAGACTTTGATGGGGTCAGTGGAAAAGGGTATTGTGACCTTGACTCTAACCTTCATCTACCAGATAGTCTTCTTCTGTGACCATCGTCCATGTTCTGGTAGGAAAACACGTCCCCTTCCCTGCTTATTTTCTGTTCTCTCCAGCTTTCAGTTAGCAGGAAGACAGGTACTTTGGGTTTAATTGGGCATGTGTTGTATCTAGCTCATTGCCTCCTTTGGGGTGTGAGCTCTGGAAAACCATAGAGAAGCATTTCCCAGGTCCTCCCAAGCAGACCTCTATTTGGGTCCCACAAGGTGCATGTCTTCAGTGTTTTCCAGAGCTAAGAGAGTATGTGTGAACTAATCCCCGTTGTGAATTAACGGTATTTGCTAAACTGTGTATATATGTGTGTATGTGTGTGTGTGCGCGCGTGTGTATATAGGATGGCTGTCCAGAAAGTATCCAGCCATTGTTAATAGAATGAGAATGGTTACATGGCTGTATATATTCAATATATATGCAATCCATGCCTTCTAAATGTTAGAAAAATGTTAACCTATTATCACTATTGTAAGTTTTTACATAATTGCTCAATTGTTCTGGGACCTGCTGAGGCTAAAGTCTTTGAGAAGAATTGAGATGGGCTACAAATTTGGGATGGATTTTGGTTTTACAAGGACCCACGTTTTTCTTCTGGACAGGAGGCATACTGTGACAGGCTTAACAAACCCTGGACTGAAGTGACTTCGGGTTAGAAGGGGGAACCTCATACATTACTGATGGGACTGTAAAGTGGTGCAGCCACTTTGGAAAATAGTCTCAAAAGGCTGTTATATCATTGTGTTGTATCATACAGCAGTTCTACTTTTAGGTGTGTATATACAAGAGGAATGAAAATACACATCTACTCAGAAACATGTACATGAATGTTTGTAGCAGCATCATTAGTAATAGCCAAGAAGTAGAAACAACACAAATTTCCATCAGCTGATGAATGAAAAATAAAATGTCTATCTACACAATGGATATTAATTGTCCAAAAAACAGATGAAGCACTGATGCATGCTACAATGTGGATGAGCTTTGAAATATTATGCTAAATTAAAGAAGTCATTCACAAACCACCATATATTGTATAGTTCCATTTATATGAAATGTCCAGAATAGGAAAATCTATAAAGTCAGAAAGTAGATCTATGGTTGCCAGGGGCTGAGGGAAGTAGAAATGTAGAGTGAATACTAATGGGCATGGGATTTCTTTCTGGGGCAATGAAAATGTTCTAAAACTGTGATAGTGGTTGTACAACTCTGTGAATATACTGAAAACCATTGAATTGTTCACTTTAAATGGGTGAGTTGTATGGTATGTGAATTATATCTCAATGTAGCTGTTTGCTAGCTAGCTAGATACAGATATGCACATTGTTAGACCCTCACTACGTGTACCAGGACAACACTCTGTACTTGTCAAAGACACAGGCTGTCTCTGCTACATTCTGCAGAGGTGCAAAACCTTAGGTAGCCTGTGTTACTCTCTTGGAGAAGTACATAATTCTTTATTTGCTCCAAATAGAAGGAGTAATGGTTCCATGATGAATGAGTAGAAAGTAAACACCATTTTTGTCTATGCTTGTTAATATAATTGCATCATTTTTATGAAATCTGAGCAGAGTTAAAATTTAGAGCCCAATTTACCTGCCTCGACTGTTTAGGCTGTCAACTCTAATAATCTTGGGTAGCTTTAAGAAAGCTTGAGGAATGTGGCAGCTATTTCTTAGCAACTGAGCACTTAGAAGGAAAAATGGATTAATCGTCACACATATGGCGATCCATTAGGGCACATTTGCAAATCTGTGTAAAACTGGTTTTCAAAACCTTTCTAGAGTTTTGGCTCTTGGTTCTCACTGGAGATTTTGTGTGAATGTTATTTTGTATTCTCAGCACCAACAGAGTGGAATTAGTTGTCCTTTTAATTCTAATTTGGAGATCTATCTTTCCATATCTGCAGTCTGGATTTTAGACTCCAAGCCCTAGAAGCAGCATTGTCATTTCTGAGAGAATCAGGAACCTCAGAGAATGCCGTGAGGACAGTGAGTATCTATTGAGCATAAGATTTTAGAGGTAGCAAAAGCCATTTCGCTTAAGGTGCCTTGTCTTAATCACCTCAGTGACCCCAGAAGGAAAGCATTGCATGGGCAGTTTGTAGGCGGGCTCATTCAGCTTTCTTTTATGTTCTCAATGCTCAGTGAATCCATCTGGAAGGATGGCAATTTGCTCACTGGGACAGACTTTTCAGGGCATTGATGGCTCCAGGTGGCAGGCAGGCGTCAGCCAACACATGTTAAGTACAAAGCGCTCTTGCCTCTTCATGGCCTTTCAGCCAGTTTCCCTGGTTCTCCAGCTCTTCTCAGCTTTTAGGAGCTATTAGCTCCCATGCAAGACATAACTGGTATCAGACCATGCTACCTTGTGTGTGTGTAGTGTGTTTACAGAAGCAGGCGCAGAGTTCGAGCTGAAGCGAGCTCGGACAAGCCTCCTCTGACTTCCTGCGTTTGTTTGTTCTGGAAATCAGATGCAGCTCGAGATGAGAAAAAATCAGGTCTATGCCTCATTTAGTTACATCAATTATAAAGAGAGAGGAAAGCACTTAATGTGTTGGGATTAGTTTACATGCTTCTTTCCTAAGAATTTGTATTCCTTGTATATGATTGTGGAATAAATTTGCTATTTTGAATAGCAATGATTATGGGGTGTAATGAAGACTCTCTGTTTAGTGTTAGGGCAGGATAATAACAGTAGCTAATATGTATTGAGCCATGGTTAAGTACAGGTTGAGAATCCCTTGTCCAAAATGCTTGGGATCAGAAGTGTTTCAGATTTTTTTCAGATTTTGGTGCATTTGCATATACTAGCTAATGACTTATCGTGGAGATAGAATCCAAGTCCACAAAATATATTTGTTTCATATATATCTTATACATATAGCCTAAAGGCAATTTTATACAATATTTTTAAATAGTTTTGTGCATGAAACAAAGCTTTGACTGTCACCTGTCACATGAGGTCAGGTGTGGAACTTGCCACTTGTAGTGTCATGTTGGTGCTCAAAAAGTTTCAGATTTTGGAGCATTTCAAATTTTGGATGTTTGGATCGGGGATACTCAACCTGTATATTGCTTTCCTCACCTTACAGAGGAGGAAACAGGCTCAGGGCCTTTCCAGGGGCCCACAGTTCAGAAGAGAGCAAATGGGTCTGAACTCAGAGTTTTTTCCTAACCACACTGGCATGATGGCTTCGAAGGTAAATAATGTCCCTGTTTCAAGGTCAGACTGAACTCTGATTTGCACTTAATATCAGAACAGGAGGTAATCTATAAATAGATATGGTTCTGTTTAGATTTGATTCCAAACCTAATGGAGTATGTAATTACATGATTACCACTATTAGTATGTGGCACTGTTTGCTGAGATGCCAAAGTTTGTATTTCATGCCGGAAACTAGACTGGCAACCACAGCTTAACACGCTAATGCTGGTAATTAGTGAAGCTCTCACTTAAGTAAATGGGGCCATTTGCTTTCAAAACCAGTGTGTAAATAGAAGTACAGGAATCTATCTGTCATCCCAATTCTACCTCTTTTGTCCTCAGTTTGAGTACTGGCCATAGTTCTTTCATGAGCTATCCAGACATTTCAAATAAACTTGTGCACAAGAAACGTCAATAGAAGGGAGAGATGCTGAAGCCCTGATGGGAATTTTGGTTGAATGACTCTGGTGTCTCCATCCAGGACCTGTTAGGCTCTTGTTGATGGGCTGGGATGAGCCTTGGGGTCTGAGTGCATTCACAGGATGTAACCCATTCCTTCCCTTCCATACAGATGTTGTGTCTGATTGGTCTCCTATGCATGAAGCTGCAGTCCACGGATGTCTGCTTTCTCTGAGGAACCTCATCAGCCAGGTAGCTTTTTGAAAACAATGGTAAATGTTAAGCACATCCTATTGTTACACCACACTGAGAAAAAAAAATCATGTACTGATAATAATATATAAATTTCTTCTCCAGCAAAATGAATTGAATCACATCCTATCTAACCATTTCTTTCTTTGGAGGCTGGTGTAATAATATCAGAGTCCAGTACATAGGCACCTAGTACTTATTACATTAAATATCTGTTGAATGAATAATTGGCAAGTAGTGCATTCACGTTGCCTTCACTTCATTCAATAGACTGTTCTTGAAAATTATGTAAAACAATGGTTCTCAACTGGGGCAATTTTGCCCTTTAGGGGATATTTGACAATGTCTAGGGCCATTTTTGGTTGTCATACTGTGGAAGGAGAGAGGGTGATAATGGCATCTAGTGGGTAGAGACTAAGGATGCTGCTAAACATCCTCCAGTGCACGGGACAGTCCACATCTAAAATTATCCAGCCCCAAATACCAGCAATGCTGAGGTTGAAAACCCCTGATGTAAAATAAATGCTTAAAAATGTCTTTTTAAATATGTAGTCTCATAATTTCAAAGACATCTTCAGTTCTATTAAATCCCTGGTTGACAGTGGCCCTGAACAGTTTGATTTTAGTTTCTGTGTTCCTCAGGTGTAATTTCAAGTACACATTGATTTGAGTTTTGCTGGTTTGAAATTATTGGGAACCTAAGCAAAGACGCTTTTAAGAAAGCACTTTAAGTCATCATTCAAAGTCCTAATAAAGTTTTTTTTCAGAAAGTTTTATTCTCTCAAAGGACAAGAGATCTTTTAAGTTAGAAGATCTCATCCCTTTCTGTACCATGGATCCCTTTGGCATTCTGACAAATTCTATGAACCTCTTCTCAGAGTCCTATACACTGCTATTACTACTGGGGCTTGTTGTCTACATTCATAACTGAAGGACATGCAAAATTTCAGGTAGAGGTTAGTGAAAATAAATGTGCTTTTTAAAAAATTCCAGTTAAGCACCCCTCCTATAATACAATAGTTTCTAAAGAAAAATTTCATACTACCCTAAACCACTATCTTAAGCTGTTTTTGGTAGCAGCAGTGTATTATAAATAGATCATAACACATAACTTTAGCTAAAAGAAGTTAGGCTGCTTTTCAAATAAAATAAAAAATGTTTCCTACTTTGATAGGATGAAAAATGATCATTGCAGCTTTATAAATCACTGGTTAAATTGGACAACTATTCATTAATATTCAGTATTTATATGTTCACTGAACATCAGCTAGCACCATGTCTTTATTCAAGCTCTATCACATTATTTGCACAAGTTGTCTTCTCATAACCTCAATCTCTGTCTTCATAAAATGATCATTATAATACCTATCTGTATCAGTCCACCCCAAAACTCAGTAACAGACCACTCCAAAACTCAGTGGCATGATACAATAACCATGATCTCTTGCTAATTAGTGTTTGAGTCAGTTGATGTATGCTGGGCGTGGCTGCGCTTGCTCCAAGCTGTGAGTTGGATGAAGCTCTCCTACACATCTCTTTCCCCCTTGGACCACTAGCTACCTGAGGAATTTTCTTCTCATGGCAAAAGGCTCCAGCAGGTGAGCCCAACCATGCAGGAATACATCCAATCTTGGCTTATGTCACCTCTACTAACATCCCATTGGTCAAAGCAGGTCACATGACCACGTCCAAAGTCAAGGATCAAGAAAGTACGTTTTGTCAACTGAGATTAGGTGACAATTGATAATAGAAAAGTTAAAGATAATCCATTCAAACAATATATATATATATATATATTTTTTTTTTTTTTTTACTAAGAACCCACTGCGGACTGGATGCTACATGAAGTAATGAGTTAAAAATTACCTGATGATATTATATGACTCAGACTTGTCAATAATTTAGATAAATCACCACAGTTCATTTAAGATAGAACTCTTAGCTTGATGATGAACTATAAGTTCCCAAATTTTCAGAAGGAACCTCTTTGTAATGTGAATTACAACTTTTTAATGTGAAAAACAACTTTTTTGTTTCGTGTTGTGAATGATTTTTGTTGCATTTCATTTACCTAGATTTATGTATAAATACCTAAATGCTGGTTTAAAAATCACAGTCACAGCTGGAGGAGTGCATTTATAATAACAGAATACCTAATAAATAATTCCTTCAATGGGCAGTTTTCTTTCATCTCACAATCTGTTGCAAAGAGAAAAACGCAGTTAACATTTGCTGTGAATTCCTTGTATATTCTTGCAGTGTGAGTGGAGGACATTGGACAAATATAGAGCATTGAGACGGGAAAAAAGATTTGAGGACAAATCTTTGAAGGAATGCCTCCAATAAAATAATAATGTCAATAATAAAATATTTAATAAAATAGCAGATGCTACATTGTAAAGTCCATGGGTGGTATTTGTGAAGGAGTAACTCAAACTCTTCATTAGCCAGGGGTCAGTAAACATTTATTGAGTGTTCACTGGGGACAGATGTGATTTGAAGCTATGAAGGGTGGGAGGCTACAGTCTCTTCCCTGCCTTCAGACAGCAGAGCTGGGATGGCAACACACTGAAGGGCATTGGAGGCTCATTTACAAGCTGATTATGGTGAGTCTCCTAGAACCTCTTCCCAGGCCCACTGAAAAAAGGCTCTGGATTCAAGATCCTGTATACTCAGGTGTATGCCCAGAATGACTGGATATCTCAAAACATGTGAGCTTGCCAATCAGAGGGTAAAAGTCAAAAGGACAAGTTGATTAGGGGGCTGACTCATAAGTGCTCACAAAAGTAGAAGAATGTGTGTCCAGAGTGATGGCGAGTGAGGCAATTTATTAGAATGATTCTAGATGACTCTTCTGGGGAGAAAAGGTCTAATATATTACTGAATCATTAATTAAACTAACCATGCTCTTAGTTGACATGCCTCCAGAAAAAGAACTTTTATTGTACCCAGTTTCCCTGTTAAGGGTAGTGTGTTCCAGGAACGGGGGCTGGGGGGTGGGGGTTGTGGAGCCTCTCCCGGAGCTCTTTTGGTGTTCTGCTTGGATTGGGCTCATGATCCTTCTCTTGGAGACCATATTTTCCCAGAGGTTGATGGACCCCAAGACCAGCCTTTCAGATACTTTCTTGCTTCTCCAAACCCAGAGTTTCCAGAGTGGGAATGTAATTGACCCTTTACCTTGGGACTTTCTTTCTCTGTCTATGGAGGGTCACCCAATACTTTGGCCCTGTATTAGTCATCTCTTGCTGTGTAACAAATCAGCTCACATGTCTGTGGGTCAGGAATCTAGACACAATTCTGCTGGGTCAGGAACCCTGGTGAGTCTGCAATCAAGGTGTGGGCCAGAGCTGCAGTCATCTTTAGGCTTGACTAAGAGCAGACCCACATGCAGGCTCATTTAGGTGGCTGTTGGCAAGATTCAGTTTCTCCTAGACTGTTGACTGAGGGCCTCAGTTCCTGGCTGGCTGTTAGCCAAAGGCCACCCTTAGTCTCTTGTCATGGATCTCATCAGGGCAAATAAGCCAACAAATGAGAGGGCAAGAGAGAGAGAACAAGACGAAAGTATTTTGTAACCTAATCATGGAAGTAACTTCCTGTCACGTTTGCATGTTCTCTTAATTAGAAGCAAATCTCTGGGTCCAGCCCTCACTGAAGGGGAGGGGATTACACAAGGTTTGAGTGTCCGAGATAGGAATTATGGGGAGTTTGCAGGTCAGAGACATGCAAGCCAGGCAAGTTGACGCTCACTTTATTCTTTCTCTCATCATTCTTAGTTGCATATATGTCATTACCAATAAGTACTAGGAAAAACCCTATGTCAAAGTGGGCATACTGTGCTGGGTGGAGTTGGAAGGCATCTTCTTTTGAATTGTACACAGTAGTTGGTTGGGGGACCTGTATCATTCTGGAGATGCTATGGCCCCATGATCACTGCTCATTTGCTTTGCTGTACTCACCAATTTGGAACCTTTCCTTATGGGTCATTCTTCTTGTGGCTGTCTTTTGCCCAAGTTCTGTACCTGGGCCTGTGCTCCAACCACTTGTGTCTGATACCCTCACGTGATGTTTGCCTAATGTGACAGTCACACTTGTTGCATTGAAAAAGCTACTTTTTAAAAGTGTGATGACTATGTGAGAAAATACAGTATTCTCTCAATTGCACATTTAAGTTCTAGGTATGAATAGTATAGGAAGAAATGATACAAGCTTTCCTTTTGATCAAGAACAGAGTTGGCAAATTTTTTTCTATAAAGGACCAGATAATAAATATTTTAGGCTTTGCAAACCATACAGTCTCTGTTCCAACTCCCAGCTCTGCCATTGTAGCATAAAAGCCATATGTAAATGAATGGGCATGGCTGTGTTCTGATAAAACTTTGTTTACAGACACTGAAATTAAATTTCGTATAATTGTCATGTGTCAGAAAATATTCCTTTGATTTCTTTCCAACCATTTAAAATGGAAAAACCATTCTCAACTACTGTGCTAAACAAAAATAGGTTGTGGGCTGGATTTAGCTCATGGGCTGTAGTTTGCTGATCCCCTTGTCAAAACTGAGACAGAGCTAGGAAGGCCACGAAAAAAAATTAAATGTCAGGAAAAAAGTTTTATTTTCTTTTGAGAAAAAAATTTGGGTAGAACTGCTATGTTTACTGCACACATTGTCAAATCCTGTATATTACTAAATACTTACATTTAAAGAATAATTTTATTAGTTGATAGGTACATTTTCATTTCCTAAAGTAATAAAGTACATTTAGGCTTCCTAAAAGGTATATGTAGTATCTTTCTGTTCCCTTACAGTTTCAAAATTTCCATTTAATTATCCCACAAGAAAGATCCACTTATTGATTTGGTAAGATTTAACAATTGTTTGTTAAACTTAGTAATTTGGGCCAGGCTAACTTTTAAAAAAACTTAATTGAGAAAAAATCATAAACAAACATTTAACAAAAGAATTTAAACACACATGTATAATTTAACAAATAGTGATCATGATAACATTGCCATGTGACTGCCCTTCAGGTCAAGAATTGGAAAGATGGCACATCACTGGCTCCTGCAAAGCACCACCTCCCACCCCACCCCATTGTGCAAGAGCACAATCCTGTCTCTCTTCCATGAAAGTAACCATGATCCGGACTTCCTTGTTTTTCTTTAGAGTTTTACTTTCTATGTATGTATTCTGAAACAATATAGGTTAGTTTTGCCTAGTTTTGAACTTTACATTGATGTAGTAGTCATTCACCATGTATTATTATGGGTCTTGCTTCTTTTGCTCAACATTATTTTGCAAGCATCATCCTTGCAGTTGTTCAGTGTAACGTTCCACTGAATGATTATATGAAAGTTTATTAATTTAGCCAACTGTTGATGGGCATTTGTGTTGTTTGCAGTCTTTGGCTGTCATGACCAATGGTGCTGTGAATATTCTTGTATATTTATCTAGGCGTATCTATCTTGAGTGCATATACCTGAGAGTCACAATGCTGGGGCATAGGCATGTGTATTGTCAACTCTAATACTACCAAACTGTTTGTCTGAGTGGTCGTACCATTTTGCCCACCAGCAATGTGTGACAGTTCTTTTTCTTTTTCATATCACTGTCAACACCTTAGTGACCTGTCTGACTTTGAGCCAGGTTAACTTTTAGAAGAATTGTCATAGTGCTGGAATTGTGGCTGCAAAGTAATCCCAAGGCCCTGTGCCTTTGCACCCCTTACTCTGCCCATTTCCCCTCTTTCAGGGGTGGTCTGTGAACCTTGTCACGGCAGATTGTGTTTCCCCACTCCATGAAGCCTGTCTTGGAGGTCATCTCTCTTGTGCAAACATTTTATTAAAGCATGGAGCTAAGGTAAGTGAAGCTCAAATAACATCTTAGAAAGCTAACATGAGAAATGACTGTTTGTATTCCTTCTGAATAATTTCCAGCACTTTTGATTAGCCTGATTTGAAATATGAAGAGGGGTGTTTTGTCCATCAAATTTGTTTGCTTTAGTGATAGATGAAATACTGAATTTTTAGCCAGGAAGTCATGCTTACAGTCTGTATCATTTTCTTTATCAGGCACTACTAATGAATAGCTTTTAGACTTCTGCCTTCATTGCTGTGGTTGGAAGGTCATGAAATATTGTGGAAAGCACACAACTTTTGACTGGAATGGCTAGGATGTCTGGGGAGACAGAATATTTTTATGTGGTCCATCATCCTTTAGCAGGCAGCCGGGACTTGTTCACGTGGTAGCAGGGATTGCAAGAGCAGAAAAAGAGGGAAAGCCCTCTGCTTGTACACATAACATTTGTTACTGTCCCATTGGCCAAAGGAAGTCACATGGGCACATCAGATTCAAGGATTAGAAAAATAGTCTCCATCTTGTGACGGGAGGAATTGCAGAGCCACACTACAAAGGGATATGCATACCGGGATAGAAAGAATCTGTGGCCATTTTTGCAAACTACCACATTGTATTAAGTATTAATGCTAAGGGGGCTGTCGCGAGTACATAGAAGTGTTCCTAACCTATCTATTTCTGATGGGGAGAGAGGGAGACAAAAGAGGCTGCCTACAGGAATGGTGTCTAAGCAGCAACCTAAAAGACCTGCTGGTGTTAGGCAGCTGAATGGTGGGTTGGAGGAAATTATGAGCTTCCCACTTTCTGAGAACAGCAAGTGCAAATTCCTAGAAGTGAAAGTGAGCAAATTGTTGTGACTTCAAGTCAGTCCTTATGGATGGAGAGTAGAATGAGTGAGAGGGTTCGAAACACAAGCAACCTTATTGTCTATGCCAAGAAAATGGACTTTGTCCTAAGGTCAGTAAAGAGCCAGAAGTGAGTGCATCATCAGATTTATATTTGGGCTAAAGAAATTTATTTAAAACTTGGAAACAGGGCCAGGGCCAAGTTGAAGCAAGAGAGGCACCTAGGGTGCAGACTTTAAAGAGGTGTTCACTCTCAGGGCCCCGCAGCATTTGTGTGACCCTGAGAATAAGCATCTCTTTAAATTTTGCACCCCAGGTATCTCTGTGTCTCACTTTAGTCCTGGCCTTGCTTGGAAGGAGACCGTGAGAATGAATTCATTGTCTGCACAATGTCATTGCTTAACAGACTGACCAAAGAATTACTTAGTGATATAGAAGAATGAATCTGCATTGGCTTTGCTACTTATTATTCAATTATAGCCCGAGCACTGTGAGTTAGACATTAACTTGTAAATTTCTGACTTCCAACCTTAGAAAAGTTAGCCCCAAATATTATAGTTTTACGGCCCTTTAGGACATTAGCCAATTTTGTATCTATTAGCAAAGATATTTCAGAAGTCCATTGAATATTTAAACTCTCCTTTGAGCCAACCTTACCATCTTATGATTCCCTCATTAATGAATGAATTGAATAAAATCTTTGGCATGTGTTAACTCTATATGTGTATGAAAGTCATGTTTTCAATTAAAAAAATTATACTTTGATAATTTTAGAAGATTGCTCTTGTGTCTGTGAGGAAGCTGAGTTGGTGTGGGATGAGTCTAGGAAGTAAGTTTAAAATAAGGAGATTAGTTTCTAAGCTGTTGAAATTATCCTAACTAGTTTCAAAGTTCAAGTTCCGGGGAAGGGCATGGAGGAAATGGAACATTCAGTATACACTTGGTGCCTTATATTTACCACCTCATTCAGTTTTCACAACAACCTTGCGGAATTTGGTATTTTTCTCTCCATTTTATAGCTGTGTAATTTAAGGCTCAGAGAAGTTAAATAACATCTCGAAAGTGGTTGACCCTACAGTTGAACCGCAAACACCCCACTGCCTGTCTTCATCCTGGAGCTTTTATCCCCAGGTGAATGGCGTGACAGCAGACTGGCACACTCCGTTGTTCAACGCCTGTGTCAGCGGCAGCCAGGCCTGTGTGAATGTGCTTCTGCAGCATGGAGCCAGCCCCCACCCAGAGAGTGACCTGGCATCCCCCATCCACGAAGCTGCTAAGAGAGGTAATTATTTTGAGAAGTTAAGTTTTCCACCCACTCCTTCAAGGGACATCTTACTGTTGAAAGAAAGAGGGAAGAGGAGTCATATTTTAGAGCAGTAGTTCTCAAAGTGGGGACCTAGGACTAGAAGCATCAACAGGACCTCACCTGCAAATGCAGATTCTTGGGCCCCACTCCAGTCCCATTGAATCAGTAACCCCGAGGGTGGGGCCCAGCTGTCTGTGTTGTGTTTAACAAGCCCTCCAGTTGATTCCGATGCGCAGTTAGTTTGAGAGCCTCCCTTCTGGAACATTTGGAATGTTGTTCATCACTACATTTCCTGGAACAGGGGCCTGGCACATAGCAAACTATCCTTCAGTATTTGTAGAATATATTGTTACACCCATGACCTTATACAAATGAAGTTATTTTATACAACAAATTATATTTAGGGGCTTTAAAGAATATTGTGTCAGTGCCACTTAGGTTTGCCAAGTGAAACCAACTTTCAATTTTTGGAACTATAAAGGTGCTTTATACAGTTTGGGCTAATTATAAAGCCACAGTTTTCCTGATATTCTTAACTCTGAGACAAAAAATAAAATTGCAAGTTTTGCTTTTCTTTGATGTTTATCACCATCATCATAATGACCGTACCTTGCCCGAGGGCTTTCTATTAATATTTCCCCAGTGGTTTTTGTAGATTGACTTTCCATTTGACTGGACCAACCCATATTATAAGTATCTCCCAAAGCATTGATACTTATTTATTGAGAACACACTATACTAACTGATCAAATTCACTGGATGCATAGAACTAAAATGGTATATCAAGAGAAACATAAAGGAACAATGTTGAAGTGTAACATTCTGGACCATGGAAGAGGGATTCAACTTTCTATTAGTTTGCCAGACTGGGCCCTGCACATGTTGGATTTGGCAGCTTCTTCTGAGTCTTCCCTGTGCCCGCGGTGGCCTGTTTCTCCCAGTCCTGCCTTTGGTGAGGCTGTACGTTTCCTTCCCTGTCCTGTGGCACGCACTGTGCTCTTTCTTCTTCAGGGCCACCTTCGGCCCCTGTTCCTCCATAACTCTCCCCAACTCTCACTTCAGTTTCTGTATTCAGACTAACTACAAAACCACAAACAGTTGAAAAAGGTTAATGGTTGCTGGTTTCTTATTGCAGCTAGTAAGCTCAAGTGGGGTTTCACCCATCATTGCAGATCATGTAGTCAGCCCATGATCCGATGGCAGGGTTTGAACTCACTCCTGTTACTAACTAAAGGAAATAGGTTTTGGTCCCCTGCATGAGTTTCTGGCAAATTTAACACGCAAAAAATGGAGATGGTGCTGTTTCCCTAGCTCAGGGAACTTGTGCTGTAACTATTTTTCTCCTGTTTTTGGCTTCAGGCCATGTGGAGTGTGTCGAGTCCCTTATAGCTCATGGGAGCAACATTGACCATAACATCAGCCACCTGGGCACTCCGCTCTATTTGGCTTGTGAAAACCAGCAGATAGCCTGTGCCAAAAAGCTTCTGGAGTCAGGTAAAACAGAAAGCAAACCAAAGCAAAGAAATAAAATGAAAAGTAAATTAAATGTATTTTAAAGATCTTTCTGGTGTAGCAGAGGAGCGAGTGAGGGCAATGGTGTTGGACAAGATTGGAGTTCACGTTGATGCTGTTTCCATGAGGAATTATTTCACACTGTTTGAACTTAGTTCTGTCACTTGTAATGAGGGTGATGATGATGATGATGATGATGACGACGACAATACCTCCTCCCAGGGTGGTCCTCAGTGATGATTAGTTTCGCCTCTCTTCCCTCTGCCTCCCTCCCTGTGGCCAATCATGTTATTAGGCCCTGCATAACTTACAAAGCTTCTGGATCAGGGTTGAATCTTCCTATTTGGGACCTTCTTCACCAATTCTCTTTAATTTAAAAATTGAACTTGACACATTTTTAGCCCATTGTAAATATACTTTACTTGAAAAGGCCTATGTACCATTACTCCTTTTCTTTTCTTTTCTTTTTTTTTTTTTCTTTGAGACAGAGTCTCACTCTGTTGCCCGGGATAGAGTGCCGTGGCGTCAGTCTAGCTCACAGCAACCTCAAACTCCTGAGCTCAAGCGATCCTTCTCTCCTGCCTCAGCCTCCCGGGTAGCTGGGACTACAGGCACGCGCCACCATGCCCGGCTAATTTTTTATGTATATGTTTTTAGTTGTCCAGATCATTTCTTTCTATTTTTTAGTAGAGACGGGGGTCTAGCTCTTGCTCAGGCTGGTCTTGAACTCCTGACCTTGAGGTATCCACCCGCCGCGGCCTCCCAGAGTACTAGGATTATAGGCGTGAGCCACCGCGCCTGGCCCCATTACTGCTTTTCACCTCTCTGTTCTTATCCAGACCCCATCTCAACACCTGGAACACCATTTTGTCACCTCTTTAATTATCTGAGTCCTATTTATTCTTTAAGACTCCAGTAATCTGTCCCCCTACTGAATATTGTTATAATCCTTATTGTCTTCTACTCATTTGGCAGCCATTGCTATGAATTAAGAGATTCATTCTCCGCCCCCTCAATCACTCTCTCCCTCTCTCTGTCCCACCTGCCCCGCAACTCTCACCCACCAGCACCCTAGATAGATTTTAAGCTCCTAGCCAGGAAAGGGCCATGTTTGACATCCTTACAAAGTCAAGAACAATACAAGACCAACTCAGTTAACATTTGTTGAGTGGACATAGATTCTCATTTTACTAGAGGGACAGCAGCTCAGGCAAAGCCACATGTCCCCACATATCACAGTGAGAGCCAGGATCTGGGCTGGGGTGAGTACAGGCATGGAATTGGATGGGAATGGTCCTAGAAATCCACCTTACTACTGAAGAGGAGAACTTTCCAACCTTCCCTGTGATCTTGGGATTGACAACCCAAATCTAGGAGATGCCCCCGTGAGTCGGTTGCTTTTCACAGTCCAAATCACACAGTCTCAAGTCCTAGGTTTTCAATCCCATAGTGGCGGCTCAGCTTGTGAACTTGGCTGCTTGGTGTAGACAGGATATCACCATCTAGCCTCACTCTTGGGCTATCCTGACTAATATTTAGGCTCCATTAATAATGAATGTGTAGCCTTCATGTCACCGGGAATTTTCTTGTGTGCATCAGGCTTATGTATAGTGCTCAAAGGCAAGTTTTTAACTTCATATGCTATATAGCTCATGCCGTACATTCAGTTACATTGTCAAATGGGGTTTTCCCCATATCATGAAATGGAATCACACCACCTCCTGTTTTCTCAGAATCGTCGTACTTGCTACGGAGCCCCGTTTGTTAGGGAATTTTGAGGTTCAGTGCCTTGAGAAGGGGGATGGTTGGCCTCTGCGCCTTGGCTGACTCTCTTTTGTTCTTGTGACTACTTAGGAGCAAGTGTGAACCAAGGCAGAGGTCTGGATTCTCCTCTTCATGCAGTGGCCAGGACGTGCAGTGGGGAGCTGGCCCGCCTGCTCATGGACTTTGGAGCAGACACCCAGGCCAAGAATGCCGAAGGCAAAAGTCCTGTGGAGCTGGTGCCTCCGGAGAGCCCCCTGGCCCAGCTCTTCTTGCAGAGAGAAGGTGCTTCTCCTTTGCCTGAACCTAAGCCCTAGTCCATAAAGCCTCCTTCTGGTTCTAGTAGGAGGCAGATACTTACCGAGTTCTCACTTCCAGTCCTATAAAAGATCATTCTCTGCCATCACCAAATCTGCAGAAGTTGAGATAATTTAGCGTTCGGTGAGGTACAGTCGTAGTTATGTATTATAGTAAATAACCATCCTGCTGTTTGGCATGTTGGGGACAGGCTGTTTGGGATGATCTAATATTCACATACGGAGTAAGCCAGTTTTTAAAAAGTTAATATATTGTTTAAAAATTTTAATATTAAAATGATATAAAACATGCTTTAGAATGATTCAGTGGAGGCCTCCTTGGGGTTATATGAGGCCCCAGGATATCTTACTACTCTGCAGATAAGCCAAACTACTGGGCATTTGATTTCTGGGCTTAAAATGCAGCTAGTATATTTCTTTGATGAATCAAACCAATCCAGAGACATTTATAATACTATTATAAGTTAGCCAACAAAAAGTCTACACTCCTGCATAAGTAAGAACTGACACTCCTTACCCAAACAACTAAACATCATGCTGGAGTGGTGTGTCTGGAAGTAGGGCTACTTCCCTGGGCTTTGGGGTCTGGGGTGGGTGAGGCTGAAGAGCAAAGACCCCTCAGGTTGGGGAGACACCTGATTGCAATCGTAATTGTCCTAGAGGCAATTGGGCAGCCAGCTCAGTCCCTACTTTCTGACCAGAGTGTGGACTGTTGTCAGGTTTTAGGGGTCGTGGGACTATGAAGCACGCCTTCCTGCCAGAAGGTTTCTGATGTCATGTGATCTGGTTATTTTTTCCCATATGCTGAGAAGGAGGGCTGACTCTGGGCAGAACTGTCAAGTGGGTGGAGCAATCCATCTTCCTCCTCCCACTACCCCAGGGTACTTGCCGCCAAGCCCCTGCCTGGGGCATGCCAGACACGGCCTGCACTCTTGAGCGCTAGCTGGTCAGGCAAAGGAAGACTAACCCCAGGCACAAGAAACAGTCCAGTAGAGACCCCTTTATGTTAACCAGTGGGATAATCACTGGGCAATTTTACCTGCATTTTAATGATCTCTTATTTTCAAAAAAGTCTATCTATATATACAGGGCCAAGTTCTTCATCAGGCATAGATGGAACTGTGCCTCGGGGCCCACAGAAATGTCTTAATTTCTTTTACATTCAGAAGGAAAAACAAAACTCAGCTTGGATTATATTCATGTTTATACCAAGACAGTTGTAAAATACAATTTTTTTTTGTAAAATACAATTTTTAATATCATTTTATTGGGAAAGGGATTCACAAAGGCAAAAGTGCCTCAGATCCCCCTAAACTCATAATGTAGGATGTATATATCCGCTTCAGAACATGGGTGGGTTTCACCTAACAGCAATCATTTGCTTCCGTCCACCTGTTTCTCCGTACCTGGGGGAGGGAATTCATTAAATTACTGTCCTCTTTTAATGGTGCGGCGACAGGAGAATGTTAGGTGAGACCCAAACATGTTCTGAGCTGGGCTTTACATAGGTGTTAGGAAAGGTGGGATTTTCCCTTCTTTGTAGGGACTGAGAAAGGATTTCAAGACTATTACTACTCCACCCCTCTTGATAAACATCTGACACAGTGTTTCGTCGTGGCACATAGTGAAAACTCAGAATGACTCAGCCTAGCAGGGCTGCAGCCCTGGCGTCACTCCCCTCCGCCACGACTGAGCTTTGGCCTTGTGAAAGCACCGTGAGTGTTGCTGGGGGAAAAAAGAAATCAAGGCCCAAAGGAATATGCCAATTCATTAATGTACAATTAGCTGATTTTATGACCGAGCAAAGCAAACCCCGTGAATGTTTGCAGGTGCCAGCAAGCGGCTACAAAGCTGTAGTGGCTTTCCAGCTCTGTTTTTCTGGAATTCAAGCTACAGTTGTTGTACACTGTCCTGTTTGCAGTAAACAGCAGCTATTTCGTTGGCATCAGTGGTTACACTGAGCTTACGCTGACATCCTGCTTTTCATAATTCTCTTTCGGGCTTGCTCTGAGATCTTATTCTTCATAATGCTTTATCAGTACCTCCTACGGTTGCCCCTGACAGTGTGTCTAGCACAGATGATTAGTCACATCCTTCAACATTCCTCAGTGAGGTTAGATTAAGTTCAGTTTCCCCCCAGTGTACTTTTTGCAGTTCATTAATCTGTGCTTTGAGTACACTGGACATAATCTGGGAGATGCCTTACTCATGCAGGGCCCCTCTGTTAGGGCCTGATTGAAAATATTTCATGTATTTATTTTATTATATTTGTGTCTATTTCCACCTCTCCTTGTTCTCTATCACCTGAGAGTTACGTAACGCGGGTTATCCTGTAGCTTGTGGTGATGCCGTAGGGAGTAGAGGCCCCAGTATCCTTTCTGTTGTATTCTCAACCCCCTGGCCGCACAGTCAAATGACCTGGGGCACACGCCTTTAAAAAACTCAGAAGCTCGGGCTTTACGCAACAATAATCAAAGCAACCTCTTTGGGGTGGGGCTCAGCATTATGTAGTTTAATGTCCCCCCACCCCAGGTGACCCTGAAGTGCAGCCTGGATTGAGGGCCTCTACTTTAAGGAATTCTCGAGGGTATATGGTTTTGCTTTGCTTTTTTTTTTTTTTTTAATAACCAAAAAAGAATTCCCATTACAATTGGGTACAGGGAGAGTGGTTGGAAACTCATTCCCCATCCTTTTACCCTATGACAGTGTTTCTCAACCCCGGCACTATTGACATTTTGGGCCAGTTGGGGAGTGTCCTGTGCACTGTACGGTGTTAAGTGGCATCCCTGTCCTCTCCCATGAGATGCCAGTGGCACCCTCCCCCCAAGTTGTGACAACCAAAAATGTCTCCAGACATTGCCAAATGTCCCCTGGGGAGCAAAATACCTCCTCCTACTTCTCCCCCACCTCACCTGCCCCCAGTTGAGAACCACCATCCTGAAATGTAGACTCTTGGTTGTTCCCCAGGCAAGATTTGTGCTAGATCACTCTTTGCCTCTGAGTTGAAGCACTGGGATAGCTCCGAATACAGAGTATAAAAACAAACACGACTTAAAATAAAATACACTGATGATTCACTGAGAGCTCATTATATTTAAAGACCTTAAGATTGCTCAAATTATAAAATAAAAGTGTTTACATCTGGAAATATGCCTTTATTTTTTAAGGTAAAAGACAAGGACACCATTCAACATGAATGCTATTTTCATTATTGGAATTTTTATGTAGCTGTGTAATTCCCAAGTTAGCTTTCTTAAGCCTCCATTAGTGAGGCTAAGCTTTAAATTTCTTTTACCCTGTTCTAAATTAAAACCTAATAAGCTCATTTCTATTAGATACCAGAAAAGAGGGAAAATGACCTAAAAATGCCTTCTATGAAAAAAACCAGAAAATGGTCTTAAACAGTACCATATTATTTGCCTATAACAATGTTATATCTTGTATGCTTAAAAAAAAAAGAAAGGAAAGGAGAAGCAGTCTTAGATCAATGACACCAATGTGTGCTTTGTCTTGTGATCTTTCTCCAGGGCCCCCTTCTTTGATGCAGTTATGCCGCCTTCGAATTCGGAAGTGCTTTGGAATCCGGCAGCATCATAAGATAACCGGACTGGTTCTCCCCGAGGATCTGAAACGGTTTCTCCTACATCTTTAAATGCACCAAGGGAGTGGATTCACAAACAACAGGAAAACATGACTGATTGTTGTGGCCACTGGAATTTTCAAATAAAATTGGGTTTATAGAGGTTGGCTAGTTTTTTTCATTTAGATTTTTGTTTTTAATAGAAGCTCACGGGGTACTTTTGTATTATTAATTAGAAGACATGAAGACTTTTTTTGCTCCCTGCTGGGAAGAGAGTGTCTAAAATAACAACTATTGTTTTGAACATCTAGGAAAACTTTATGCATCATCTAATTTAGCCCTCACACCAACCCTACCCAATACAGTGACTACTAGTCCAGTGGTTCTCAACCAGGGGCAGTTTTGCCACCCAGGGATGTTCAACAATACCTGGACACATTTTGATTGTCATAACTGGCTGGCATCTAGTGGGTGGAGGGCAGGGCTTTTGTACAACATCCTACAATACACAGGACAGCCCCTTACAAAAAGAATTATCCAGTCCTAAATGTAAATACTGTAGTTCCCAGGTTGAGAAACCATGCCCTGGCCACATGTGGCTATTTAAAAAATGTAAATTAATTAAAATTAAATAAAATTAAAAATCCAGTTCCTCAGTGTCATTAGCCACATTTCCTCAGCACCACTGGCCACATTTCAGGAGTTAAATAACCATAAACAGCTAGTGGCTACTGTATTGGACAGTGCAGATATAGATTTAAAGTTCCATTGCTCCATCCTTGAAGAGATTTTTATTGGACATTGCTCTTTAGAGCCTCAATGAATGGATTTTAACTGCCTTTCAGTTTCAGATTTATGGGAAACCTGTGATGTAATTTAGCACCGTGGCTGCAGTTTCAGTTACCTCTCGGAGATGTATGGGGCTCCATTGCATCAATAGAAAGAAAGAAAACATTGTAGCTACTTAAGTCAGATCCTTACCTGTAAGATGACATCTGGCCTAGATGATTTCTAAACATAGTTCCAATGTATTTTTTCTGTAATTCTAAATTGAATTTGCAATATGAAAAGACTCCAGAATATTTTTCTAAAAATGCCCAACCAGTTCCCCAGCAGATGGCGCTGTTGCCACATAGTCACTTCAGTGAAACTGGTGTTCCTCATAAATGGCTCATCATAAAATGCTTTACAACATAGGCTCTGGAAATTTCCATTCAAGAATGAAAACTTTGTAGTGATAGATTCTACTGACACCAGGTTTCCTTCTTCTCTTCCAATATACCCAATAATTCAAATGTGACTTTACAGAACCTCACCTCCTGTTCTTTTTTTTTCAGTTCTTAATCTGATCATGTTTACATTTACTGCTTAGAATTTGGACAATTAATGAACATCGGCATCCTGCCACTTGCTAATTCATTTATTTAGGAAATATTTAATGAGTGCCTGTATCTGTGCCAGGCTCATTCTAGGCACCAGGGTGGCAACAGTGGACAAGATAGGCGAAGATATTTGACTTCCTGGATCTCACACCCTTGTCCGAGAATCATTTGCTAAGGGGTGAGAAGCGGTAGGCATTTTGCTGCTTTTCTTTTTGAAAGCATCAGTTTAAAGAAATAGCATGACAGACCTTTGCTTATGTTAATCTTCCGTCAGTCAAATCCGCTGAGTTTCACCTACAACTGTAACAATCACTAGAACAGCATTTTTCTTCTTAAATATTCCGAGCAATTAATCAGTATGAAAATCCACATAGTAGATGGTCATCCTGCAAATGGGAAAAATACCACCACCACCTCTCTTACTGCAATTTAGGAAAATTTCAAAGTACCTCACTTAGCAATGCTCAGAAGAGCGTATTTAAATAGGGAGTCTATTTTTATGAGTCTAGATGTTATATTTATAAGTGGCATATACCTTTGAATGCTTTGTCATTCCAATCTGGCACACCCTCATAAATTCTGTCATCAAAGCTGGTTAAGTGACATTTAATAGACCCCACCTTCTTGAATGATGGACATAAACTTAGCCTCGTGAACCCATCTTTTAAAAATGAGGATCGTTTGGTCTGTTTTTAGATTTTAAACTTATCATATATTTAGTGTCGACCAGTCTCATATTGTCGTTTTACTACATTTTCCCTGATTTTATTCAGTAGAAACACTAGCTAGTTGGTGCACGTCACCAGCACAATTCATGTTACAATGAAAGAAGAAAGCAAGAGGAGGGGACCAGGAAAAAAAGATTTATTTCTTTGGAATTCGGGATGGGGCTGATTGACATGGGCTGATACTCTGAACCAGGCTGGAGTGGCCAGCCATTAAGCAGACATTAGGGGCTCAGAAATGAGGGACCAAGATGTGCTCAGCTATCTATTCTGGGGCACGGGATTGGGCCTTTATATTAATAATACGTTGAAAGCCTAGCATTAGGGCTTTAAGACCAAGGTTAGCATGAAAAGCAGCTAAATAACAGCGCCCATTCTAGAGGGCTTGCTAAAAGCTAGGCATGCTGCATTGGTGATTTATAAACCTTCCCAGAAACCCTCACAGTTCTTATCCTCGTTTTACAGATGGGGGTGCAGAGAGGTTAAGGAACTTGGAAAAAGTCATACAAGTAGTAGGTGGCGAAGTCAGAGTTTAATGCAGAAGCCAGAGCTCCTCACTCGTACACACTCCGCCTTCTCTTTTCTTCAGTCAATCCCAGAGCTTCGGTCTCTGGGTCCTAAACCTCCTGCCTAATCTCCTAGTAGGTTTTGGAAAGTGGAAGTGGGGCCCAGTCTGTAGGTCAGAGGTCCTGGCTTTAGGCCTGGACATCACACTTCCCTTTCCCCAGTCACATGAACCAGCCTGGGTGGCCCCAAACTCACTGCCTCTTGGGGCAGATGGGTCAGCCTTGTCCTACCAGGGATGCTGGTGAGCATAGAACGATGCCTTCCCATAAGACCAAGCCTGGCATGGCAAATGAATTTTTTTTTGAACAGTATTTTGGACTGACTTTGTGACAAAGTCTTTCCCTTAAATGTAGTAGGGTGGAGGAGAGGCTGCTTAGGCTTTGCACAAAATTGTCTGCTCATTTGCTAGTTGTGTTAGTTTTCTATTGCTGTATAAGAAAAGATCACAAACTTAGTGGCTTAAAAACACAAAAATTGATTATCTCAGTTTTTGTAGGTCAGAATTTCAGGCATGGGGTGGCTGGATTCTCTGCTGGGGGGGTCTCACATGGCTGAAATCAAGGTATCGGCTAGGGCAACACTTTTCATCTGGGGCTGGGGGGGCGTGTCTTCTTCCAAGCTCACTGGTTGTTGGTAGAATTTGGTTCCTTGCAGTTGTAGGTCTGTAGGTTTTCCTTCTAGCTGTCAGCCGGGGACTGCTCTGAGCATTTAGAGACCACCCACAGTTCTTGTCATCTGGCCCTCTCCATAGAAAGTTCTAAGCATGGATGTTTGTTGTCTTCCAGGCCAGGCGAAATGCATCTCCCTGATTTTCTATCCTGTGACAAGCTGGAAAAATCTCTATGCTTCTAAAGGGCTCACCTGATTAGGTCAGACCCACCTGGATACTATCCTACCCTTAAGGTCAACTAATTTGGGACCTTGATTACATCTGCAAAATCACTTCAAAGCAGCACTTAGATTAGTGTTTTATTGAATAAATGGCAGAAGTACATACACAAGAGGCCTAGAATTTGGGGGGCATCTTAGAATTTTGCCTATCATACCTGTTAATAGCTATTAACCATCAATTTTGTATTGATTTGTCTGAAATACAATATATAATAACATACTAATGATTATTTTTATTTCATCAAACATGTATACAATGCTTACTCTATGCCAGATATGGCTCTAAGAATTTCACAAACACCAACTCATATAATACTTATAATAATTCTACGATATGGGTGCTATTGTTATCCATTTTATAGCTAAGGAAACCGAGGTCCAGAGAGGTCAAGTACCTTCCCCAAGGTCATACAGCTTCTGTCAGGAACCACTTAGGTCCTTTAATCACATCAAGCCTAAATCGTCAAGGTTGGCAATGAGGAATGAAGGTCTAGGTGGGGCCAGGAAGTGGAACTTCTCAGCCTTGACTCCATTCCCTTTGGGGCTAAGTACGAGGTCACTGGCATGCCTGCCAGGCGGTGGGGTGTGGTGGGGGAGTGCTGTTCTCTCTTACGCTGGCCTTGGCAACTCTTCTGTGAATTTAAATAGGACAGTTCCTACTAGGCAGATGTTTTCCAAGAGACTTCACTAAAGTTTGTGGAAACCAAAACGGAAGCTTGAGTTTGCTACAGATCTGCCTCCTGGCCTGTACTCACCTAGGGCTTTCTATGTCCTGCTCCTGTCCTGTCCTTCAGGGTGTTTGGGTTGGGACTGAGGAAGTCAGTCTCAGCTTTGGCTTCTGCCTTGGGGTCATGTTGATGAGGAACCTGGCAAAAATCCTTGGCATGATTCTCTTAGTACAGAGAAGGGTTCAGTCTTCATGCTGTAGCCTCTATGATGTGACAGGCTAATGTCCTGGTACCTAATACACCCTCCAGTCCTTTCGACTCCGTCAAGTGTACAAATTCTCACTGATTTGACAAGATTGATTTTCTACGCTTTACTTTGCAAAATCCATTGTGAGACCGAAGCAAGTGAAATTGATTTCCGCTCACTTCCCTCTCTACCCAAGGTCTCTTTGCTCATTCCTGCAGATTGGAGATTTTCTAACTTTCTATGCCCTTTTGAAAAGCTTGTTTTGTTTTCGTTTGTTTTTAGTTCAGTGAAATCAGATGGTTCTACAGGCCTGTGTGGAAATTTTAATGTGCTATTCCAGGTATTTAAGCTTCATTAATTCAAGAAGACACCTCTGTTGTATCATAGCTGGAAGCCTAAGTAACCTAACTATTTACATTATAAATGTTGGGCTATGGCCATGAAAACTGGGAATAGTCTCACCCTGCTTTTCATTCAATTCACATTTTGTCCATTTCACCTAAGTAAGAATGTACTTCAGAAAGCTATTGGTAGAAATTTATTTCTCTGAATTGCATTGTGCAGAATTTAATGTAGTGGGGTCTGTGCTTTCCTTTTCCACATAGGATAGAAAGAATGTCCTGTTTCTTTTAGTTCTCTAAAATGAATTTAATTGGTCCTGAACCACCGTCACCCTGGCTGGAGATTCAAGCTCAGCTACAATATGGATCCCATTGAAGCGT